TGTTACTGTGGAAACGGAATCACTTTTCACTTCAAGCCAGAGTGGTTCATACAATGTATTATGAGACGGAATGCAACGGTCAGGCTGAAAGGCAACACGTACACTGCACCTGACAGCTCTGTGCTTGACCTGTGAATGGTGTGATGGATCCCAATTAATGTATCATTCTGCTTTTAATTTTAGTCATTATTACTATAACTCCAACGGAACCTTCTTGTTTATAAAAGGAGAAGAATCTGACTGGTTGCCACACAGGTGTAATTTTTCTATAAATGCCCAATACAGTAGTTCACATTATAATTATTATTTATTATGTGCATTCTAAGGTACATCTTGCTGTTGATCCTGGCACCATTACTTAGGGTTAGAAGAACAAAAAATAAAACCACTCAGGAAAACAGATGTACCCAGCTTACTGTCTCTTATTAACAAGGAAACCAAGCTAGGAGGTTTAGGGTGGGGGCGCAGGCTGAGGGAGTTAGGCACACAAATCCAATTTATATTCAATAGGAGATGGAAGCACATTTGAAAATCCCAAATATAATCCTTAAAGGTAGAATGGTGTAGGGTGTGGAGCTGCGGGGAAGGGAATGTAAGCATGTTCCTTTATCCTTTTCCATTTTGGTTGCATATAAGCCTAAATGGTATATAATAATGACTCCAGTCCACAGTATTTCTTTGGTTCTCAGTGATGTGAAGAAAAACTCTATCCTGGGCCTCAACTGTTGTTGCTTCAGTATTCTACAGAACAAATGAAAAGAGAAAAACAAATAGACTAATGGGAGGCTGGAATCGTTATTCCCGTTATGACCCATTTAGGTTTATATGCAGCTGAAAAAGCATCAAAAAGAAAATTAGCATGCTTACGTTCCTTCCCCCTGACGCCCACACACACCACCATTCTTCTTTTAAGAGCTAAACCACCCAGTTTGGTTTCCTTGTAAACTGAGGGGGATTGGGTGCAGGAGTGGGGGAGGAAGAGAGAATTTCATAGCTTTCCCTGAGGGAATTTTTGTTTTTTCAAACTGTTATAATGGTGCCCAGCTATGACAAAGATGAGCAACTGAGAAAGGCATATAGTAAATAATGCACATACACACACAAGGTAGCTTCTAAGGAGAGTAAAGTGGAAACCAGCCTTTTTAGCTCATGACTAATGTTGTGGAAAACGCCTTCTGAGATGCTGTTGCCTGGCTTGACATGCTTTGTTTTTCTCTTTAACAGGAGAAGTGTTCTTGGAGATTAAAGGCCCACTAGAAGACACATATAAAATCTATTGCTACCACCACGACGATGCGCACACCATGCTCGAATCCTATGAAAAGGATGAAGAACTGAAACAGCATTTAAAACACTGCGTACAGTCCTTAAAGTAAGATCTTTTCAAATGATGATTCCATTCATAGTCAGCTGCCTGGCAGGAAACATTTTAAATGGATGTAGATGAAAGGTCCCCTGTAAATCCGGAGTTTTATGAGGCTTGCTGGGAGCTCTGGCTTATGCTGCTTTCATGAAAAGATGACAAGCCAGGGGCCATGATTAGATTTCTTTCTCTCTAGGATGGCCAAAAATAGCACAAGGAAGGTTTCTCTTCCCTTAGCTTCAGTGTCCAGACTGGCAAAGAAATGCAGTATCATAAAAGGTGTTGAGAGAACCTTGTCCAAGCCCCCCAAAGACCTGTCACACACGCCCCCCTATCTTCTGTAATGCCGTCAAATGTGTGTGCACAGAATAACGTCACTGGAATTAAAATGTCATGTGATTGTAGCTATTTGCTTTCTCAGACAACATACTCGTGCTTCTGTCTCCCTACAGCTTTCTCAGGCTACAGGGATTAGAAGTGACTGCACTATTAGATACCTTGTGTTGTGGGTGTTAGAATTCACAGTTAAGGCATGCTGTGACTGCCTGAATGGCAAGTGAATTTGCTCAGTTCCACAGCTTCAATTTCCAGTTATTTAGAGAAGTTCTATTCAGAGTTGGCATGGAACAGGATAATGTGACTTAATCCTAAACCCAGCCATGTGAATCTGAGCACCTCAACCCCAACCCCCAAATTCTCTTTCCATCTCCATTTTGCCATCTAGTCCGATGGCCTATCTCTGATTGTGGCCATTGCAGGATGCTTCTGTGGGAGGAAACCACCATAATGCATCTAATTACTGGATTCCCCCATTCAGACCTTGTTAAGCTTTTCATAGCTGGAAGTGGCTCTAAAGTACATCACTATGAAGCCTTTTTTTCTACTCTGTTCTTTCCTGGTTAACCCTTAATCTTTTTTCAGGAACTAATGGGAAAAAATCACTATGTGTATTGCATTGTGGTTTTTGCTCCCCCCCCCTTGGTTTTGTTTACAGTGACTAAAGATGACAAGCAGAACATTTATATCCACTTCAGCAAGTGTCAGAAATGTTAGTAAAAAAAAAGAGTTGAAAGTACTCAATTAAAATGTATAGCTGTATTCATCTAAATCTGTAACTATCCTGTAGAGAGTACGGCTCAAAAGGGGGAATTAACTAGAGTTCCTACTAAAGAAGGCATAGATTCCTTTCCTCCATGAGGCATAACACATTCAGGTGCCCACAACTGTTATTCTTGCAAAATTTCACTTCTTAAAAACAAAGACATTTTTGTTTGGGCAAAGTATTGCCAAATTTAAAAAAAATACTGAAACTGGATCCAAATGATTAAGGGGTGGAGCTGCTGCTTCTCAGCTGAGCTGTATCCTACAGTATTAAAATACTTCCATATTAGGACTGTCATGAGGTTTGTGCTCTGCACACCTGTGCTGGCACACTGTATTTAATTATCCTTGTCCAGTCTCTTACACCGCATGCTGATTGCTGAGGAGTTCCAACATGCCAGAAATTCCATCCAAATTGTAGGTGATACCTTGGAGATATCAGCATTAGTAAATTCTGTAGAATCTTATAATCCAGTAGTGATATTGTGCATTAGCTTAGCCTATGGAATTCATTTTGTATACATTAAATGTTGCTGGTGATCACCTGCTTTACTTTTAGCCAGAAGCATCTTGGTTACCAAAGAGAGCTCTCCCAAAGCTATCACTGCAGGAACACTACAGCACTACTATATCAGCTTCCTGATGCTCAGTTAGTCAGCTGTAGTTGAGGGGGCTTTGTGCTGGGCAGCCAGATGGCAATGGGTGATGATTTTGGGAGGGAATATTGCTCAGCACTGGGCAACAGAGAAGTCAGGTATGAAGAGATGCTGAATTTCTGATTCTAATGTGTTGTTTCACTAAACATACCATACTGTCCAATGGCCAAACTTCTTCTGTATGTTAAATCATACCTTTAATAAAATATCCCATGTTAATGTATCTATGTGTGTTTGTTTCCAAAACATTAGCACACATCCCTGCATATTTTTGGTGTATACATTCATAGTATTTACACATCTGTTGATGGCTTTTGAGAGTTAATCTACAGAAAGAGTCTTTCAGGAACTAAATATTTTCATTGAAAAAAAAAAAAAGGAATCCCAATAAAAATACAAGGGAACTTATATTCAAAAAGACTGAAATACACCGTCCATCTTTCATTCTTTACAATTGTATTTCTATTTAAAGAGAATAGAGTGGACATATATATAGCCCAAGAATTTACACTCTTTCTTTTATTGATTAGTGATTTTGTAGCTAGGACTTAAACATTAATTACTGCTAGCACAGTACCCTCAACTCTCTCATATAAACTATCTATGAGATGGTTGAGTTTTATCAACAAAGCCTGATTTATTAAAGTCCTTACACATTAAGGGCTGTGTTTTCAAGAAGATGTGGGGCCAGATTCACTGGTACCCACTGGCTGCTTTGTGAAGTACCTAGCTCAACTGGCCAGTTACGACTGCTTTGTGTCACTGAACACATTAGTGAATTTCACCCATAGTCTGTATATATTTTTTCTTAGGAGGAAGCTAACACTTGTTTTGTTTTTCTCCTTTTGCAGAAAGATATATGAGGAAGAGTAAGTATCATGCCAACTTTTTTGTTGTTTTTTAGAAAAAAAAAATCTAAATTATCTCCAGATGTTAAAAATGTTTAAAATTGCATGTATGGAAATGTTCAGAACAAGAGCATCATTTTAGTAAACCAGGTAATCCTGTGCAGCAACAGAAATTAGATTTCTCCTAGACATTTGTGATAAAGTCTTTGACTTTTAATTTTTCCTAATCTATCTGGTTTTCTAATTACTATTGCACCTGCTTTGCAGTATCTTTCAAAACTGCTTTATGAAGCTACTTAATCGGGTTCCCAGTCCTTCCAGCGCCCTTTATTTTATCGCCTCCCTTCAGAACAGATGTATTTCTGTGATTCTAAAGCATGCTTCTCAAAAAAAAACAACAACAGTGCTGTTCTTTGAAATCCTAGACTAGCACAGCAAGGTCCAAGTGATAGAGATTTGAGCTCTGGATTCAAAACCCCTCTAGACTCTTCTCAGAATAAAATTCTTTCCGAGCTAATGACTGTCTCTCCTGCCTTAAATAAGGCAATAAAGAAGGGTACATTCCTAGACTGTAGTTTTGGGAGACCCACAAGCCCAGGGCCATCAAAATGGAACAAATCTGAAGATATCTTGGGAGAGGAGTGAGAGAAGAAAGTGCTTGAACTGAAAAAAAAATTACAATCGTAGGCAAAAATATTAATTCTGATAGAGAAGAGGTAAGGTTATATTGCTCTCCTAAAATTGCTCTGCTAAATACCTTAATGGGGGTGGGGAAGGAACACTTGAAAGCCAGGAAATTCTAAGTTAAGGCTACAGTCATGAAAAAAAAAAAAAGCAAATAGTTGAAAGTGTGAGTGTTGGTGTTTATAGTGTGAACTGGCCATACTGAATTGCACTGCACTATCAGAAATTAATATGCACTTTTATCCCTCAAAGAATGTCCAGTAGAAACACTAAATTGTGAGTTTCTCACTGAGTTTAAATCAATCAAGGATTCATAAGCAGTTACCTCTTAGATGCCAAATTGTGCCTGGTCCTTGTGTGGTTGTGATTGTGACAGGTGCAAGGAGCCATTCTCCTGAGCGAGGACCAGACATAACCACAGTCCATGTACTCAGGAATGCTAAGGAATATTGTAGTCTGTGCACTGCAAATACCTTCTCCTGAGGTGTTGCAGTGTCATGCCACCCCTTCCTCAGGATTGTGGTTAAAAACCACCACTGAGCCCTTACCTTGTAGCAATTTGAAGGAGGTTCTGTGGCCTGCAATGTGCAGGAGATCAGACTAGATGATCATGATGGTCCCTTCTGGCCTTAAAATCTGTGAGCCTATAAAAAGAATTGCTTCAATGGGATCCATTGCTTCTTCTTCCATTCCTGCTCTACACAACTGGTCTATCCTGATTTACACTGGTGTTTACCCCAAGCATCTCTGAGGTCACTGGAACTGTGAGGCTACAGATTGCTTTTCACTGTAGTATAAACGGGAAAACATCGTCTTCAGTGTTAAAGCATGCTACACTTAGCCATCAGTTGGATGGGTTACTCCAGCTGGACAATCAAATATAACCAAATTCTGTGCTTATTTATACCTGTGCAACCTCATTGAGTTCACATAGGTGTAAGTGACAGCAGAATATGAGCCATAGTGATTTATTTGCCCTGTAGATTTTGTGAAACAGTGAATTTGCACACACAAAAATAATAATGTTTAAGTAACATTACAAGTTATGACAAACACACACAGCAATAACTTAATGTGACCCCAACGCCACCTTAACACGTTTTCTGCTAGTGTGTTCCACAATGGAATTATATATTTCATAAAGAGAGCATGCCAGACTTAACATTGAATAGTATATTTTTTCCTAGTTTGCCACCATGACTATTTAGACCTATGTATCCATAGCCCCACCCATCTGTGACTTTATTTTGTTGCATGCAGTGCAGAGGGGTGTGCAGTGGAACCTGATGCAGTTAAACCAGCTGTGTTTACATGACTGCAAAGCAACAGCAATGATTTGCAATGAGATTACTGCAGCTACTTATGGCACTAAACTACTTGCTAAATTCAGGATAAGACGGGGTGGCTGCAGTGGCATTACAAATGAATTATCAGCTTAATTTTCTGCACAAAAGATGTCACAAGTCGTTACACATCTGTTTAAATTGTGTGGCAATGCAGTGTTCTGATTGGCTGCAGTGTATTCTAAAGGGGTGTATTAGAAACAGGACTAATCTAGGGAGAGTGGTTATCGTAAAATAATCTTACTGAGTAGAATTAGATGAGTTGAACTTCATGGCATTTTGTGCCGCAGGAAGTCATCATCTCACAACAAACCTACTATCTTTCAAACCATATTGCTAGACTGTGTCATGCAGATATGTGAACAGAGGGCTGTTTATCACTTGGGCGGCTGTCCAAAGTGCAACTGTATGGAGAGAAGACACTTGAAGATTTCGATTCATGAGGCAGCTTTTAAAAGATTTGCATTCATGGGGCTTTTCAGGGAAAACAATAACAATTTAAGATTATTTTTATTCCTGCTGCCAGAAGCTAAAAGAAGGGAAAACAGCTTTATATTTGATGCAGGATAGATGGGGAGGAGGAAGAGAAAAGAGAAATGATGAAAAGGTTTGGGGACATCAAGAGGCTTTAAAAAGCATTTACTGTTAAAACTCCTTTTTTCATGCAGGACTTTTTATACTGAGTGCCTGCGCATGAGAGATGGCTTAAATATGCAGATGCCTCTTCTCCAAAGCATCCAAATCATGACTTAATTAGTCAACAGTGCTCCAGTATATTTTTATAAGTGGAAGCCAAAGTTCTTTCTTTCTTTCTTTCTTTCTTTCTTTCTTTCTTTCTTTCTTTCTTTCTTTTTCATCAGCTGGGTTTATGGCTGAACACAACAAAAGTTGACAGTTTGCAATATTCAGTGGGTATTCCCTCTATGTTCCTTTTATTTTCCATTAACCCGGTCCCTCCCCATGCTCAGACATTCTGGCTCACCTCTCATTAAATCTCACATAGTTAATCTCAGAACTTTTTTCCTTCCAGAAATTCTTTCTTTAGAATGTAATGGAAGCACTGCTCTGTGTTTCTGTCATGACAAGCTGCATTACAGTCAGGGCTCCTGTCTTCTTCACACTATTATCAATAGCTCCCTTCCTCCTTTAAAGTGCAGACCTACAAGAAGGTCCCCAGCAGTTTATACATGATTGCTACCAACATGGGGTTGTAGCAGAGTTTCCCAGTGTGTCCAGAAATTTCTTTCCTTCTCTTTCTCTCTGGAAACACTGTCACTGTCATGAGTGAAGAGGCAAACAGGCCCTTTTTACCCACGTGCTGCAGAGGAAGCAAATTACCCCAATACCTTTCCATAAAAGAACCTGCAGAAAGAGGTGGGAGCAGGGCTTTAGAATGTTTGCCACTTGGTGGGGATGACTTGGTGGGGATGGATTGTGTGGGAAAGGAGGGAGTCACAGCATGATAGGAGTGGGGTCAAGAGATCCAGATGGCTTGGATAAGCTTGGGGTAAACATCCAAACTGGAGAATCCAGACCAAATTTTGAATCCTTTTCAAATTCGCCCATCGCTAGCTGTAATCCACCAATCGGCAACCAAGGCTACTAGTATCGACCCGGTCACTTCTGTAGCAGAAAGCATAACAAAGGACTGTGGTTACAGAGGCAAGCTCAGTGATGTAAGGTACACAACAGTTAGTGGGTGTAAATAAGGAACTTTGAGCTGATGTTACTTTCACACTGAGGTGCCTAAATGAGGTGTAATACGCATACTTTAATACATTCTTTTTGTTAGTTATTTTTCCTACTGCATCCCTCTCTCCCAGGCTTGGTGTGTAAAGTGTACCATACAGACTCCTTTAGCCTCAGTGGGCCAAATTCAGAGGTCATGTAGAAATTATATGTTAGTAAGTAGATGTGAGTCTAAGAAAGTCTAAGCTGGTGTAACTTTCATACTGAGGGAGCCAGAAAAAGTTTTCAATTTACCCCAACCCAGACTCCCCACTAAATGTGTTTCCTAATTGTTCTATTTAAATGGGAATTGCACCTGTGTAACTGAATGCAAAACAAGGCCCCAGTTTTGACATCTTCAGTAATTAAAAACTCAACTGTAGATTTTAAAAGGTAATAACTTCACTGACTAGATAGGACTAATGCATTTTTTTCTTCAGGGGGTTGCCATTTTGCATGACAGTTCTGTTTGTTTGTATAAATAATAGAGGAAAACCGAATTTAATGGACATGGGATCCCTGATGATCAAACCAATACAGCGTGTGATGAAATACCCTTTGTTACTGTGCGAGCTCTTGAATTCGACTCCTGCTTCCCACCCTGACCACAAGGCACTGCAAGATGCCTTTGCTGCTGTGAAAGACATTAATGTGAACATCAATGAACTTAAAAGAAGGAAAGACTTAGGTAGGGAACAGAGATGGTATATTCCTTTCTCCTATTAATTGTATTCATACATTGTAGCTTTTGGCTGGTGATTATGGGAGATGGTTTCAGCTCCAATTATGTTACCAAGGATATTGTTTTCTGGCTTTATCTGGGCTACAAAACCTGCTGGGTTTTGAGATACATAACTGGTGTATAGACTGCATTGTAGTCTCAAATTTAGAAACAAACATCCAGGTTGGATCACTAGGGATGTAAACTTCAAAAATGTGAAAATGAAGATAGTTCAGTATTGCATATAATACATTATACTAATGTCAGTGATGCTCCTGCAAACATTAATAATAATTAATAAATAATAAAAAAAATGTAAAGACCTGCCATATTTAAGCCTTAACTTTACTACCTCTTTCCAGCATTTTCACAAACGATTACAGCAAGGGATATCAAAGTCTCTTGTCTCAAATGGTCTTATATTAGAGTGCAGAGCTGTGTTAGAGCCTATGAATACAGATTATTAGTGTTGTGAAATTCTCTGTCTGCAGTGTTGAAGTATAAGAAGAATGATGAAGAAGAATCTCTTAAAGAGAAGTTTTCCAGACTGAATATTCACTCCATTAGCAAGAAATCCAAGAGGGTTACTAGCCATCTGAAAATTCTGACGGGGGGAGAGCCTCAGGTACTTAGTCAGCCATTTGCAAATTTGCATTGAGGACTTCATAATGTTACTTGTTTTACGGTATTTATCATGTAATTTTCCGTGTGTCACATCAAAGATGAAAAGATATTATGACCCTAGATTGAAAGGAAAACCTTTCAATGTGTCCTCCATCTTTTCTTTTGGATCTAGCCTTTTCTACAAATCTCTGAACTGCAGCAAAGAGGTACTGGTCAGCAATTCTCAACAAAATGAATATGCAAGTCAACGCTCAATAGATGGGTTGGTAGAAGATGTTGTAGGTGTAGGATAGCTACAGAGGGCATTTTCTGTGCATTTTATTCAGCATCATTCAGATCCTAGTACACCAGGATCATCAAACAAGACTTATATGCTGATTAGTATGGGCAATGAGTTTTTCCCTACATGCATAAGAACCTTTGACTGTCAAAATGATTAGATGACTACAAATTTTTTAAAATAAATCTGCTGCAGTGTGTTGAACGCAAAGAATTAAAACACTACTTTATTGTTCCATTGCCCTAATTAAATAATTATTGGTTTATTGGGAAAAAAATTTCAAAAGCACCTAAGCCATTTGGGAGGCTAAGTCCCTGAGGCTAAGACTGAGACTTAGGCTCCTAAGTGACTTAGGTGCCTTTGAAAATGTTATCCCAATAAATAATTTAATTAGGGCAATGAAAATATAAAGAAGTGTTTTAATTTTTCACTCAAGCCCCATTTTCAAAAGTATCTTAGGTGCTTCGGACATTGTGTCTCAATGAAAGTCAATGGGACTTAACCTCCTAAATGAGTGAGTTGCTTTTGAACATTTTACCCTGTATACTTTACTATGAGCTTATCCAAGAACATTTGCCCTTTGAAAGGTTACCTGCAGCCTTGTGCTTTTTTTCTGTTTCTTTTTGAGGAGATGTTTCTCTCTCCCCACTCCCTGCACCTCCCCGTTCCCAATTTTTTTTTTTAACATTAGAAATTCAGATTTACTTCTGTTTTTCCTAGAAGGCTCCATGGCAGACTGGGGGATTAATAGGATTATGATATCTGAGATACAGTGGCATCTGACTGAGAGGGGAAATGATTTTTATTCAGTCTGTTAGAACTATTTACTATTTGTTTTTGTTAATACTTTTTGAATTCTAAAAACTTGAGAATCACTTTGGAAAAAAGATGCCTTTGTTAAAGATTCAGCATTCCCTCTCCTATAATTGGAAGCTGAGAAAGCTCATGATGCACATCTCTGAGTCTTTCAATGACTCTGACAGTGAAAGCAGTGAAGACTAGACTTGACATTTCTCATATTTCTAAGGTAAAAAGCAAGCAGAAAGGAAGAATTAAAAAAAAAAAAATTCAGGCTTTCTTTATATACCATAAAGAAAAACAACCCCTTTAGAGATAATGGGACTATAACATGTACAGGGCCGTACAGTGCTACAGAAATAATAGCAACAAAATTTCTGCACAGGCAGTAGTTGCCCACATCTGCATTAGGGAGCACTGGAGGAAGCACTGCTATGATGTGAAAAGACTTACGTTGTTACCTATCATTTCTTGCCCAAATTGTGTAAACATAAAAAAGTTCATTGATAAACATAGATGTGCCTACAATTAAATAACTTCATGCTACCTTAATGCTCTGCAAAACTCAAAATCTTTATCAGACACATTCCAGTATCCTTGTTTTTTCCTCTCTTTAGACCTGATAATTGTAGGTGGGTTTGGAAGAGTTACTTCAGTACAGTAATCCAGCTTCACAGAGAGGAATTCATGGGCTTTTCTTTAGATTTTTCTAGCAGACCTCTGGCCATTCCTTTCATTAGTTCACTGCTGCCCTAACCATCATGTAAACATCTATTTCAGGTAAAAGACCAGACCTTTAATAAGGAGGAAAAGCTATTTAGAAGTTTAGAAAAGACTGTGAAATTTTGCGTGAAGAATATTTCATTCTCCCTACAACATCTACAGGTGGGTATATCACACACCCACACCTCTATGAGCTATGCACACATAAAACATATATGTGAATAGTTTAATACACACTTTTCACAGTGTCATATAATACCAAATCCTAAATGGCCCTGTACATATGCATACAACCCAAACTGCAGCAGAAATGAACAAAGGTGAATTTCACATTTTCTGAGTAAGCCCTAATGGTGTGGAATAATCTGCTAAATTGAATGGAGATAACCCTGTTCCTTGAGAAATGTACAATAAAACTGGATAAAACACAGGATAATATATCATAGGATACAATCTTGCACTGGTAAGGGATGGAATAGATAACCAAAGAGATGAATATTATTGCAGGGTTTGCATGAACAAGTATACTGTATTACAGCAAATTATCAATCTATTTTAATTTTCCCACCGTATTCCTTTCTAGGATTCCATGCTTCTAGCTGCACAGAATATAACTGAACTACAAGGTATTTTACACCACAAAGATGATGAAGACAATGGCTGTTCAAAAATGCTGAATAACATTGGAAACCCCTGTGAAGGCTTTGTAAGTTCATGAAACATGCCAATATCACACAGCTATCAGCATGTATGAGCTGTGGGTCATACATACAAATATGAAGGGAAAAGAGCAGAAATAAGTAGGTCTCCATTAAAAATACTGAGAAAAATATAACTTTTCACTTACGTTTCTGTAGGAAACAAGATACGTTACAAAAATTCGTGTCAGTTTAAGTACAATGTAAGCTGGATCAGGCCTCTGCTTAAACTAGCAGTGTTGCCAACTCACACAATTTTATCATTAGTCTTATGATATCTGGTGTTTACTTAAAGCCCCAGGTCCTGGAATCATATGAATATGTGGGAATCGCAGCTTTTCTTTTCTATCTCTGGTGGTTGCAGAGAAAAAAGATTGAAAACATGAGCTCTAACGTTTAAAGGCAAATAACAAATAACCCAATATATATAATTTTTAAATCTCATGATTTTTGGGGTCTGACTTGTGATTTTTGAACTCCTGGGATTGGCAGTACAAGCTAAGCTTCAGGCTGGAGTACATCTTTCAAGGTAGGGAAAACTTCTGCCTGAACCAGGCTCTCAAGCTAAACTAACATTTTCAAGCAAGGGGCAAATTTTATATCTCCTTACTCTTACACCTCCTAAACTCCAGCCCACCAGTTTCCCTCCACCTAACTCAAAATGGAGTCCCTGTACTAACAGCAAATACTCTCAGTGACAGATCACTCAATCCCAACCAATGAAAGGACTACTAGTTATATTTTTTTACTAAAAGATAAGCTGTTCCATTCCAAAACCAAACCACCAAAATGGGCTCTGTAACTGCAATTCTACTTCCTTTCTAATTCCACCATTTAAAATAATTGCATCATTTAAAAGTATATTTTAAAAAACAAATAAAATGAATATAGTGAAGAAAGGAACACAGGAATCGCCATTCTGGCCCATCACAATGGTCCACTGAGTGCAGTAGGTTTTGTAATAGTGGCGGGTATGAGATGTTTCAGAAGAAGGCACAGGAATCTCCTTAGTGGATAATTATGGCATAACCTATGCATAGGGGAAGTTTCTGCTTAACCTCTGTAGGTTAGAAGTTGGGCTCATGACCTGAAGCATGAACGTTTATATCCCTTCAAAATTTTTATTATCCTATCTACTATAACTGTAAATGTTTACAATATCCATACAGATATATTTTCCTTCTTTTAATCCTAGTAGGAGTTTGGCAACAAGGATATCTAGAGCAATATGTTCCAGGGATTAATTATGCATTAGGTAAAAGGGTATTTCCTTTTATGAGTTTGAAACTGCTGCCTTTCAGTTTAAATAGCCCTGTGCTTTTGTATTGTGACAGTAGGTAAATAGAAGTGCCTGATTTACCTTCTTTATCCCATTCATTATTTTGTATACCTGAATCATGTTCCCTTTTATTCATCTCCTTTGAGAACTAAACAGTCCTAGCCTTTTCAATGTCTCCTTATATGGAAGTTTTTCTATGCCTGTAATCATTTTTGTTGCCTGAACCACTTCTATTACTGTTATATCTATTTTTGAGGTAGTCTGACCAGAACTGAATGCAGTAAACCAAGCAAGGGCATATCACTGACGTATACTCTGGAATTACAATATTTTCAATCCAATTCGTTATACATCCTAACACTTTGTTTGCACTTTTGACCACCATTTCACCAGGAGCACAGATTTTTATTGTGCTGTTTCATGTTTTTTTCTTGAGTACTTATAGTTGAGAACCCAGCTATGGAGATGAATAATTTAAATTATTTCTTTCCATGTGCATTACCTTGCATTTGTCACTACTGAATCATCTCCCTAGCCCTCTTAGTTAGGGACAAATCAAGAATAGCCTCTCCTTTCCTGTGCTCCAGAACCAACAGTTCCAATAAACAACTGATTAAGGTGCTGAAAAATTGTTTACCTAAGTATTTGTCATAGGTGCCAGCTTTTCACATGAAAATGGAAAGCTTTCTCCACAGAACAATTATATATCAAAGGCAGTACCAATGTGAAACTACCACTGTACATCAGTCCTCACCTTGAGGGACCACTCCTGGGGATGATGGACATACAGCCTTTTGCAGCAGTGGTTTTTGTTATGCAGGAGCCTTCTTTCTTGTTAGTGGACTGAGTCTAGCAATTAATTTCTCAAGACTATCCAGCAGCCTTTAGAATCTAGATGGTAATGAGTATCAGTCACTAGCAGTCTGTGTTGGATGTGAACCAATGACCTATAGGTGAAACAATCTTTAAGCCTGATATTAATCTCTTGAGCAATCCAGATACCCATAGGCATGGTTTTTTAAAAATATATATATATTTTATTTAGCCACCAGTACTGTGAATTTATGACTCACTTTCAGTAAACTAAAGGAAACCTTACAAGAAAGCATACCACATTTTAATCAACTCAAATCTTTCTATCTGTCTGTGTAGACATTTATACTGCATCATCAGGATATTAGACCTATCCTCAGGAAAGTGGTTGTTCCTTTATTTTATTCAGTGGGAAAGACTGCCATTTAATTGAGATTGCACTGCCTCATGCCTCGGATGGTCCTTCCCAGTTTAAAGGTCCCGGTCCCAGTGAAGCTTCACAATATTAATACTGTGGCTAGCACAGGGGACTGGAGGCAGGCATTCCTGCTTTCCGATCCCAGCTCTAACACTCATCCTTTGTGTGTCCATTTAACTTGTCTGTGCCTCAGTTTCCCCATGAGGATAATAATAAAGCCCTGTGCAGTTAGAATTGTTACTAGGCTGTCTGATAGGGGTGCTGTCGGGCTTAATTAGTTACTGTCGGAAAGCCATGTGAGTGGTACAAATGGGTGAATACAGTATTATTATTTTTGCTTTGTTTTTAACTTTAGAACATAATTGTAAGTGCTACAAATGGGAGAATGAAGTATTATTTGTTGGACTGATTTTTTGCTTTGTTTTCCCCTTCCCAGGTGGATCAATTGGAAAAACTGGTTTTGACCCCACTCTCAGCTCTACAAACCTTGTTTCCAGGCCCCCAGAAGCTGATCCAGAAGCGTTATGACAAGTTGCTGGATTACAATGGCTACCTTGAAAGGTCAGCAGGAGATGAACTGAATCTGGCAAAGAAGGACTATGAGGCTCTCAATGCACAGCTCGTGGAGGAACTTCAGGTGTTCAACAGGACAGCTAAGAAGATTGTGATGAACTGTCTGCATTGCTTCATCACTCTCCTCAGGGACATGATGTCCTCAGCATTTCAGTCATATTCGACCATTGTGGTGCCCGTTCCGGTGAGCAGACTGTCTGTGTGCATGTGTATGTATGATATTTGGCCAGAGGTACTTAAAAACCCACTGTCTGTTCTGGTGATCACAGCGGATATTTTTTTCACATTTCATGTCCTTCACCCTTGTCTGCTTTGAGCTTTTTTGTTGTTGCTGTTCCTCCAGTAGTAGCAATGGTAGGAGTCAGCAGTTGCTAGCATTTTAACCCCTGTATTATTTACCGCTGCCGTGAGCAATGTTAGATAACCCACTAGGAAGAATGCCAGCAGCCACTGGAATCCCTTCTACACATGTGCTCCCACCACTAATACTGGTGGAGCCGTGGCGTGTTAGCAATGGTAGGACAATGCTGTTGTCACAAAAGCCTACTGCAGACACCTCCTTCGGAGTAAGGAACAGCTTTCTGGTTTGGCTACAATATCAACACTTTAAATATTTTGAGGTATATTTAGACAGTGCCTGCCTGAGCTGCATGGAAGTGTATTGGTTTGCATAACATTCTATTCACACACAGCATTAATCATAACTCTAAGATATGGATCCAACACTTCATCTAAATATAATGACTGAGTTAGGGTGAATATCAAACAATGCTAGAGTTTTGTTGTATTTTCCCCCCCAGAGGAAATAAGTCCTCTCCTTGACTCAGGGTATGTCTTCACTACCGGCCGGATCAGCGGGCAGTGATCGATCCAGCAGGGATCGATTTATTGCCTCTAGTCTAGACACGATAAATCAATCCCCGAGCGCTCTCCCGTCGACTCTTGTACTCCAGCTTGGCGAGAGGCGCAGGCGGAGTTCACGGGGGAGCGGCAGCAGTCGACTCACCGCAGTGAAGACACCACGTTAAGTCAATCTAAGTACGTGGACTTCAGCTACGTTATTCACATAGCTGAAGTTGCGTAATTTAGATCGATCCCCCCCAGTATAGACCAGGCCTAAGAGAGTTCGAAGGGTGTCCCCACAGTTCCAACCCCCCACACTCTGAAGAAGCCATGTTCTCCTGGCTGACATCTGGACAAGATTCCACACCACTCCTTAGTAAGCCATAGAGGTTACCTTTGGGTGCTGCACTGCACTCCCTCCAGGGGAGGATCAGGCTATTTCCCAGCCCCTGTCAAGTTAGAAGTGAGAATCCATGCAAGGGTTCAACACAGAGCTTTGCAGTTTAAGGGGAAAGTGAGGAATTTTCTACATGAGGAATTTTCACCAGTATAACTTGAATTAACTTTTACATTGATATAACAAACCAGTGCAAAAGACAGTGTGGACACACTTATTTCATTAGAAGAGTGGCTTATTCCATTTAGCTTAAATCAATTAGAAAACAGATTTAATTAAACCAAAATAAGCCTTCCACACCAGGTTAAATACATCAGTATAAATTCACACTTTAAGCTATCCTTGAGCAACTTCCTCCTGTAGACAAGCCCTATATTATTAAAGAGGGCTTTATGTTTTTGGGAAAGCTGCTTATACCAGGCATTGTTTTCAGTGGGGATTTTCCCAGTGTCACTTTTAAGCTCTCCTGTTTACATCATGTTTAAAATTAGGGATGGGCCTGAGCCAAACTCACAGATCCAACACCACAGGGGCAAGTTAAACTGACATGACCAGTTTAAATCGTATCGAGTTAAATAGATACTGGTTTTTAAACGTATTGAAAGTAAACTGGTAGCACTTCTGTGTATAGACAAGCCCTAAACAGCAATGATTTTAAGATCATGCCTTCTTTTATATCTGCCTGATGCCTAGCTCCTTGTGGGCACTACCAGAAACCATAATAATAACAACTCAGATTTCATGAGTCCTAGTGCTTGATCCACTAGATTAGAGCTACTGTTCCTTACCTCCCTATCCTATGTAATGTACATGAGATCTAATCTTCCTATTTGCAGCTGTCTTCTTCAAGTATCTGTGAAGTACAAACTCAGGTGTTGGAAGGGTTTCACAATCTAAATTTTGTAAAAGAAAACAGCAGTGCAACATTTATTGAGAGAAAACTGAGCTTTGAAAAGAAGAAACCTGCTCCTACTCAGGTGAGTAACATGCCTCTGTCAGTGAAAATTTAACATGTGTCAAATGCATCATATTTTGATTCTCCTGGGGCCTAGGCATTGATTTGCCACACAGAGTTTAGGGCCAGAAGGGACCACCAGATGATCTAGTCTGACCTCCTAAATGGGGATCCAAGCTTGGTCCCTGGCTTTTGGGGCCTGAGTTTAAACCTCCATTCCTGGGATGAGAGTGCTACAGTGACCAGTTACTCGTTGGTGATTTTCTATTGTCTTTTCATTACCTTTGCTTTTTGTCACGTAATCACCTTGAGACTTTTCCTGATCATCCCATAGCCCTTAGCTATGTATCAAGCTATGAGCTAACCCTAAGGGTGTGACAGGTTCAGTCACAGAGATCCCCTTGTGAACTGTCACCGGATAATCTGGATTTACCTCTGAGCCCGTTTTCCCTGCCAGCTTGGGACTCCAGAACCTGAGCCAGACATGCTAGCCTGCTGCAACACGGACCCAGGTCTGGTCCACGCCCCCAAAGCTGAAGACTTTAACAAAAAACTGCTCAGCAGGTCACCTATTGACAGCACCCAGACACCCAGTTCCCAATGGGATCCAAACCCCAAATAAATCTGTTTTACTCTGTATAAAGCTTATACAGGGTAAACTCATAAATTGTCCGCCTCTCTGATAGAGAGATATGCACAGCTGTTTGCTCCTCCAGGTATTAATCACTTACTCTGGGTTTACTAATAAACAAAAGTGATTTTATTAAGTACAAAAGGTAGGGTTTAAGTGGTTTCAAGTAATAACAGACAGAACAAAGTAAGTCACTAAGCAAAATAAAGCAAAAACATGCAAGTCTAAGCCTAATACATTAAGAAACTGTTTACAGGTAAAATCTCACCCTCAGAGATGTTCCAATAAGCTTCTTTCACAGACTAGACTCCTTCCTAATCTGGGCCCAATCCTTTTCCCGGTACAGTCCTTGTTAGTTGCAGCTCAGGTGGTAACTACGGGTTTTCTCATGACTGGCAGCCCCCTTTTTTCTGTTCCAACCCCTTTTATAGCTTTGGCACAAGGCGGGAATCTTTTGTCTCTCTGGGTCCCCACCCCTACTTCTAAATGGAAAAGCACCAGATTTAAGATGGATTCCAGTATCATGTGACATGGTCACATGTCACTGTAAGACCTCATTCTTCATTACCCATGGGCTGACCCACATGTCCAAAGGAAGGCTTTCACGTAAATAAACCATCTACAACCAATTGTCCTAGTCAATGGGAGCCATCAAGATTCTAAACCACCATTAATGACCCACACTTTGCATAGTTACAATAGGACCTTAGAGTTATACTTTATATTTCTAGCGTCAGATACAAGAATGATACATGCATACAAATAGGATGAACACACTCAGTATATTATAAGCTTTGTAATGATACCTTACAAGAGACCTTTTGCATAAAGCATATTCCAGTTACATCATATTCACACTTATAAGCATATTTCCATAAAACATATGGAGTGCAACGCCACAAAGAGTATGTCTACACCACAATCACAGGCTCCAACTTCTCAATGTGCCAGGGGTGAATGCTCACGAAATTGGAGGTTGGGGTGCGGGATGGGCTGAGGGCTCCGGCTGGGGGTGCGGGCTCTGCGGTGGGGCCAGAAATGAGGAGTTCAGGGTGTGGGAGGAGGTTCTGGGCTGGGGCAGGGGGTTGGGGTGTGGGTGTGGGGGGTAAGGGCTCTGGCTGGGGGTGCAGGCTCTGGGGTGCAGGAGGGTGGGACTAAGGGGTTCGGAGGGCAGGAGGGGGATCAGGGCTGGGGCAAGGGCTTGGGGCCCTGGAGCGCATCAGGGGTGCAGGTTCCGGGTGGCGCTTACCTCAAGCAGCTCCCAGAAGCAGCAGCATGTCCTCCCTCCAACTCCTACGCATAGGGCAGCCAGAAGGCACCACATGCTGCCCTGTCCGCAGGTGCCGCCCCTGCAGCTCCCATTGGCCGTGATTGCCAGCCAATGGGAGCTGTGGGGGCAGTGCTTGGGGCGGGAGCAGTGTGCAGAGCCCCCTGTCTGCCCTATGTGTAGGAGCTGGAGGGGGGACATGCTGCTGCTTCTGGGAGCCGCGCAGAGCCATGGCACACGTGGAGCGGGGCAAGCCCAGGACCCCGCTCCCGGGAAGGAGCTCGAGGGCCAGATAAAAATGTCTGAGGGCCAGATGCAGCCCCTGGGCCATAGTTTGCCACCTCTGCACTAGAGGATGTGGGGGGAGCTAATGGAGAGCTGCTGGTGGGTGCTCAGCACCCACCATTTTTTCACTGTGGGTGCTCCAGCCCCGGAGCACCCATGGAGTCAGCGCCTATGACCAAAATCTTAAATCGACCTATGTTAGGTCAACTTACAGCCATTGCAGTAGTTACTGTGGTGGCTGATGTCCACACTACCCTTCTTCTTCGGTGGGGTGTGTCGTCAACGGGAGCGCTTCCACCAACTGAAGAGGGGCAACATGGAGGGCCAAAAGCCAGGGCTTTCAGCTCCATGCAGCTCCCTACTGGGAGCCCCGCTGTCCCTGGGGGCTTCTCGCACTCTCACTACCAGCTGGGAGTGGAGGGAGGGGAGCCATGTGGGGATTCTCCTCTCCGGCGGGGAGATCTACGCCCAGAGTACCGGGACCTCCGGGGGCAGCAGAGCTCCCAGTGGGGAGCCTGGGTGGCAGCCCAGCTTGGAGGGGAGACCTGGCAACAGCCCAGCTGGGGAGCTGGGAGCTGGCTTTCTTGTCAATTTCAGCTGAGACATGACAAGACAGCCAACAGCCAATGTAAGGAACGCAGTGTCTACACAGACACTGCGTCGCCCTAACTACACCGACGTTAGCCCTATGCCTCTTGTGGAGGTGGAGTTACTATGTTGGAGTAGTAGGGCACTTACATCAGCAGGAGCAAAGCTGTAGTGTAGTGTCGACACTGACATAGTTAGGTCGACATAAAGCATTTATGCCCAGGCACTAACTCTGTAGTCTAGACCCAGCCTAAGACTGAGCATGCAAATTATAGTTGTTTCACTTGTTAAATATTCTCACACATACATTAATCTTGCAATGTTTATTTTGTTGAAGTTTTGTGAGTGGGTTTGATGGTTTTATATAGCTAGAGCAGGAGCTGAAAAATCTACCATGGAATTCAGACATACCTAGCACACGGAGTAGTCTAGAAGTGTACAGAACTGCAGGAGCTCCACTTAATATAATAATAATTAATACGTTGCCTTTTATATAGCAATGTCATTTAATATAATATCACAGTCCAGGGCTCCTGACTTGGCTCCTGACTTGTAATGTATTATATGACCTCAGTACATTATGCCAATTTTTGGGTTACTTCAAAATACTTTCAGTCATTTTACATGGGAATTGTAAGTGCACTGATACAGAGAGACAAGGTGAGTTAGGTGATACCTCTTTTTGGACCAACTTCAGTTGGTGAAAGATAAGCGTTTGAGCTTACACAGAGTTCTTCAGGTCTGTGATCGCTTTGTGAAAGTGTTCACCCACAGGTTTTTGTCTTTTAATAATTTTTCTGTATGAATTCATTTGACAGAACAGTGATTGTCTCATTTCACTATGCTCTTAAGTGAACTCACACAGAAAAATGATAAAAGACAAAAACAGTGGGCGAACACTTTTCACACAGTGATCACTCTGTATCTGACCTCTCTGTCTTCAGTCTCAAAGGAAACCCGCACAACACCTTTGAAAGATGAGCCTGGGAGCTTAAATTAATAAATCTGCTAGATACTAAAAATTATGGACAGAATAAAGACCTTGGATTTATGGTTTACAATCTCTAACCCACTTAACCCCCCACCCACCTTTTTTTTCTTTTCCTCCTATGACTTGGAGAGGTGTTAATGGGTCACTTCACCTTGAATGGTCCCTTGAAATATATGTTAACTATTTATACAATCTGTTCCACCTTGTATTTAGCTGTGACACTTTGAGTATATTTCCCAGACCCAAAGAACAGCTCTGTGTAAGCTCAAAGTTTGTCTCCCTCACCTACAGAAGTTGGTCCAATAAAAGAAATAAGGTGGGTACGGTACTATCTCTAATATTCTGGGACCAACACAGCTACAACAACACTGCATAAACCAAATACCTGACAGTTCACATCCAGCACATTTTTTTTATCCTTCAGTGACTATAGTTTCAGCCATTAGTGCAACAGGTGACAACACACACCTACAGTGCACACAAAACTCACAGGTTTGAGGACACAGTTTAGGAAATTATACTCCTAACTGACAATGGGCACGTAAGTGCATGCTCTGCCTGTTCAAATGTAGATTGCTGCAATCAGACTGGGTTGCATTAGTTTTGTTTGTACACAGCTGTTAATCCAGAAGTCTTAAAATACATTGCTCCCAATTAATGTTGTGTCTCTTTTTTTCCCATTTTTAGCCTGACTCTCCACGTCAGACAGAGAGCCAGAGATCCAAGTTACTGGCTACATATAGCACAGAATCACTATATCAAGCTAAGCGCAAATGCAATGCCACACAGGAATTTGATATTGATTTATATGAAGGTGAGCTGGTGGCTGTTGTTGAGCAAAAGGATCCCTTTGGAAGTACAAGCAGGTGGCGTGTTGACACAGGAAGTAAGTCCTTTGCACAAACATCCCAATAACAGCTTTCCTTTTGGCTATTGATTTTCTTTTCAGTCTGGGCCCATCTGTTTACCTCTATCAGATCAACAGTTTGTAAAAAACAGGTGACTGAAACATATTTGAAATAATTTTTCTTTTCTTTTTAATCTGATATCTAGTTCATAAAGGGTATGTGTATTCCTCCTTCCTGAAGCCCTACAATCCAGCCAAGGTGCAGAAGGATGTAGCAGAAACCAGTTTCTGTGATGACGATTTCGATAATATCAGCCTTTTTGTCTCTTCACGGCCTACCAATGATAGCAGTGCAAGAAATCTAGGACATAAGAGGAGTGACAGCAGCTCATCTAATAATAGCCTATGTGAAAAACCTACAATTAATGGGACAGAGACTGATCACGACACGGATGATCAACATGTAAGCATAATACACGCAGCATATCTATCTATATCTGTTTTTCCTATTCCAAATATAAAAGTTGTGCACTACTGCTTACAATTTAAAGGGGAAACCTTAGTTTATAAAAGGACTGTTCTAATCTATTAGGATGCCATAGGATTTCACACAACATTCTTACCCTCCAGGTCCTCTGATGTAATGTTCCTTGAGTTTTTAATGAACCACACAATGTGTGAAAAGGTAATCAATGCTTATGTGTTAAATTGTGGGATTGAGTCATAACCTTGAATTGAAAGAAGGGTGGAGCTGCAACACCCCATGCAGACCCAATGCCTCTAGCTGCTCCTGGACAGTAAAGCCACCTCCCCGCCCTTACAAAGAGAGCTGGGGTAATCCCTACTAAAGCAGCTAGCTCTGCTTTGTGCTGTTTTCATCTATTTTTTACTAAGAAGATCATGACCATTCTTTTCTGATAAGGAACCCTATGCCTTTATCTAGAGCAGGTTGCTGCAATGTGTGCCTTATAGAACATCTGGTGGTTGAGAGAACTGAAGTGCTCAAGTTAGCAGCTGCTAGATTTAAATGTGTGGGACCTACCCTAGCTCAGTCTTATTTATTTAGTCTGGTTCTTTTTCAGCAGTGACTTAAAGGGCTGAGTATGGTTTTTCTGGGGATCTACTATGTGCCCCCTTGTGGCCAGAGGTGGCCTTGCAGGCATTTTGCTCCTGTTACCCCTCCACTTGTGCACCCCTTACAAGAACTACACATAGTCTCTGTTGTGGCTCATAGCACCCCACACCTAGGGCTAGTTTAATAACAGAAAATGTGCAAGCAATCCTTAGAGTTCCCAAAATAAAGTCCATAACAATAACATAAAAATTCATACTCAGCCATGGTTCTTCTGCCATACCTATAGTTCTTCCTCTTTCCCAATCTGCACTACCCAAAGCCACCAGTCCCAGCCTTTCGGGCTGGAGCTTAGCCCTCCGACCCTGGCTTCCTTCTTTTTCACTCTCTCCTTTGTTGTTTTTGGTGCAGCAACCTCATTACCTGAGGCCATGGCCACCACTTTTTTCATTCATTATTGGCCACGTTATATATATATTTTAATCTATTCTGTCTCTCAAGTATCCCTAAGGAAACACAGCAAGGCCTTTTTTGCACTATTCCATTTCCCTGACATTCTCACTAGTCCCTTTAGGGAAAAAATCTTTGATTCCAAGCCGACTCAATTTTTCATAAAGAAACGTTCTTTCCATAGAATGTTGCCAACAGTGCCAGAGAACATGATCAACAGTTTCTTTGGTTTTGCACACTTTACACAGCCTGTCTTTATGTCTTTTTAATAAGTTTAACTTACCATTTAAGGCACAATGACCTGTTAACACTTTAAAAATTACTACTTCATTTTTTCCACCATGATTGTGGAGTATAGTAGTATCTTTGATTTTTTAGCATACATCATAGAACTTTCATTCTTTTGTTTCCTTAATCCATAGTTCTTGCCATTCCTTTGCAACTTCCTTCATGACCACATTTTTGAATTCTTGTCTATTTAAGGTTATCTTAATATGTACCTCCTCATTTTTTAGAGCATGTTTTGCTGTTCTGTCAGCCATCTCATTTCTAGATATTCTACTATGTACTGGAATCCGTGCTATTGTCATGGGCAGTGGGTGGAGCCCCCCTTTGGGGAGCCTAGCCCCCGGCTCCGCCCCTTCTGCCCACGGCCAGAGCCCCAAGACCTCCTGCCCAGAGAAGCCCCTGAGCTGGCTGCAGGGCAGCCTGGAGTGTCCCCCTCCCCTTGGCTGGAGGAGCCCTGGGTTGGCCGCAGCCCTAAGCCCCCGCCCCCAGCTCTGAGCCCCGGGCTGGCCGAAGCCCCAGGCGCCCCACTCCCCTGCCAAGAGGAGCCCTGGGCTGGCCAAAGCCGTGCCGTGCCTCCCCTCCCCTCCCCAGACCCAACCCACCCAGGGAAAAAGCGTCTGTTAGAAGATGCTTTTGATATGCCCCATGCAGGTTCCAGGGTGGCTGAGGAGGGGTATGGGCCTCCTCAGGCAGCCCGGAACCTGCATGGGGCATAATAAAACAAAAACTTTGCCGCCAAACCCCGCAACCGGGGGTCTGGCCTATTATACCCGCCGCCCATGGCTATTGTAATAGAGATATCTGCTTGCATTATTTCCGTAGTTAGGAACATTATTTCATTTATTATGGCATTTTGACTTTCTGAAGCTCCTGTTCTGATTGTCATTATGACTGACAAGGAATCAGATAAAATTACAGCTGCAGCCCATTGCACATCTCTTATCAATGCTCTGTACATCGTCAATACATTCTTATTGGTACCTCATTTGTTTCCAGATATATTTTAAAGTAAGTTCATCCTACTTTACACTTTTGTATGATATTATCTATGTGACTGTTCCAAGTTAATTGATCAAATATTGCTCCAAGAAACAAACTTTTGAACTACTGACTTTCTCACCATTTTTCCCTAATTTTCTTCCTCGTTAAAAGTATTCTCTTGGTTTTTGCAAGTGAGAATTTAAATCCCCAATTATTTCCCCACTTGGAAATTCTCTGGAGTGCTTCATTTGTCTTTTCCACGGCTACTCTAAGTCTTTTATGTTTAGTCCATATAGCACAGTCGTCTGTGAAAAAGGAAATACCTATTCCCATCTGCATACTTTCCGGGAGGTCATTTATCATAATGGAACACAAAGTAGGGCTGATAACTCTCCCTTGTGGAGTTCCACTTGTAAGCCTGTCCGTTTTTGATAAAGCTGTTCCCACTTTGACGTGTATAGTTCTATCACTTAAAAAGTCCCTTATCCACCACACATTTTCCCTTTTATTTCAATTTTGGCTACAATAGGAGGCCTTTCCTTCCCTCCATAACATGTAATCTGCTTTTCCGCTGTCCAGGCAGATTATCATAAAGTTCTTAGTCCTTATATTTTTTTGTACCTCCGTTTCTAGTCTCAACTGTGCATTTTCCTTTCCTGAAACCATGATGAACCTCATTTTTCTCTGAGCATTTCACTATCTTATATTTATCATTTTCCCCCTTATTTTCCTCACACATGATGTGAGGGCAATAGGCCTATAAGCATCTGGTCTTGTATGTACCTTGCCTGGTTTACTAACTGGTCTCAGCAAAGCTTGTTTCTATTCTATTGGCAGCACTCCTTTTCCCATATATCATTATATTAACTGCAATAGAATCTTTAGACTCCCTTCTGACCTGTGTTGAAGCATTTCATTACTTACGGTATATTATCTTTACCTGGAGCTGTATTTTTCCTTTTCCTAATGGCTACAATAAGCTCCTGCATACTTAAATTTTTTTATGCATCATCAGTATATTCTCTCCAGCCATTTAATAGTTCACAGTTATCCTCAATAAACCTCTTTTTTTCATGAAACTCATTGCTTTGAATCAGATCAGTACTGACCTTTTGGAATTCTTTTGCTAAAATGTCTGCTTTTCCTAAATTGGAGATCTGTTTCATTGTTTACAATAAGAACAGCTATACATTTACTTTTACTTTGAATTCCAGTCATTCTGTGAGTTTGCTTATATTTCTGAAAGATTTGAATCTTTGTCAATTTCCCACAGAAATTTCTCCAACTTTCTTTTTTTATTGTTTTTTTGATAATCCTTTGTGCCACAACCTTACACCTTTTATAATTCATTAAGTCTTTACTATTAATTGTGTGTTTTGCTTGCTTGTATGCCTTATTTTTTTCCTTGATTGCTAATTTGCAATCCTCATTCCACCAGGGAACCGGATTTCTACACTGGGGGCAATTTGATGTTTTGTAGATGGCCAGATCAGCTGCTGCTGTAATTCTTTTTATTATATCATCACAGAATTCTCCTAGGTTGCTACTTGTATACTTACTGCAAAAATATTCATCGCATTTAATTTTGAAAAGGTCCCAGTCAACTTTTTGAAAATTCCAGCTAGGAACTCTTTTTGTGTGTTTGACATTTCCTCAACCTTGGTACTCACTATGCATAGGGAAGTGATAACTTCCTATTTTGTCTTCTTTATAAAATTCCCAGCTGCATTTACTAGCTATGTCATTTGTTGTAGTTCCTGGATCCAAAACAGAAACGGAGCTATTCACGGAATTAAATCTAGAAGGTGCTCCTGCATTCATTAGCAGCAGGTTATGTATATCAATAAATTGTTCTAAGCATAGTTTTCTTACTTTTCCATATTTCATTATGACTGTTATAATCGCCACAAATTGTGAGTGGGTTTTTTACATTAATAACTAATTTTTCTAGTTCTAAAATAACTAATTTTTACATGGATTATAAACAAAAATCTATATATGTTTTTGTTCTGCATCAGAATCTCAGTAGCACTATATTAAAAACTTAGTTTCTGCACACCCTTTTGACATTGCTAAGTCTTTTATGAATATACAGACCCCTCACCCCTTCCTCTGGTAGCCACTTGATTCCTCTAGAGTATATCATATCCTGGTAGATTGAACACAAGTTTACTTATTAGCTATGTTTCTTGCACATATATCACATGAGCCTTTTTTCCCATTTCAAAGATGGCTTTCTTAAATTCCACTCCATACATTATTAAACTATGAGGATTCCAGCTAAGGATCATTAAAACCTTTAATAAGCTGTATTATTTTCTTCATTTAAAATTGGGTGAATGCGGTCTATCAAGAGATTGTCTATTTTTCTGCTGCTTTTGCTAGGATTTTAATCCTTTCATTTTTTCTCCACGTCTGCAAGGTGCAGTTAATTACTTCTTAATGAATGTTATAAACTTCCCTTTATCTACAAACAATATATCATCATCTCCCATTCCTCTCATATTCTCCTCCCTGCCCAATATATTTTTCTTTTTCTATTTTCTGCAGTGGCTACCTTTTGGTAGCCTCAACATATGATACTTTTTGAATAATTTTAATTGTTTGTATTTCCCTAGCTCATTCTGATACTGCATATCCTTTATATGCAGCACTGTGCAACTAGGTTCTGTTTCCTCCACCTCATTGTTCCCTTACAAATGGCTGGTGCATGCCCAAACCTCTAACCATCATAGCGTTTCACAAGGTGGGGGAGAGGAAATATAGAACAATAGATACCACAGTTGGATCCCAGCCAGGATCATCCCTCCATTAAGCATGCCAGGTGGTATAAGACTCACGCCCATATCTGCGGGGTTGCTATGCAAGAGCCTTACCTGCTGCACCACCAAGTCAGATGAGGGAACTGCAGATAAGGCTACACCCACTGACTCAGCTGGGTCAGGTGACTGGCAGCAGACTTTTGCTTGGACACCAGCAGGCATAAAGCTTCCTGCTCCTGTCCCACTCCCTGGCTGAGCAACTAGTTGCTGGGTTTGCTGCTGAACAGACTCCTGAGTCTAAGTTCCTGCTGCTGGTTCCTCACCCTAGTTCCAGTGAGTGACTGCAACTTGACCCTTAGTGTCACTTCTCACTCCAATTCTGGCTTAATCCTTGGCATGGCTATTGATTCTGACTCTAGCATTGACCATCTTGGCATGGCTCCTGACTCTGGCTTTGATCTATGGTGTGACTTCTGAATTGACCCTGATGCTGCCCCCTGGCTCTGACCATTCGGTCAGGCTGCCCTATTATGACTGACAAAGTGTTATGTGTACCGCTGTAAGTGGCTGGTTTTCTCCCTCTCCCACTAAATAGTCATTTAACAAACAATACTTTCGTTGCCTATTGTCTTTTTTATATCATCCTCGGACAATCCTAGTGGCACGCCATACGTCACCCTCTTGCTTCAGTCAGGAATTTAGCCAGTTGATGAGTAACCTTCATTTTCCCTTAGGTTACATTTTAAAGAAGTTTTTCAGCTTGCTCCTTATGTGTACATTTTATCAATAGATCTCCACTCTGCATTCTTTTAGCTTTTTGTACATCACCAACACTTTGTTTTATCCATTCTGCCATTTTCGTTGGGTTAACATCTCCTATTTTCACATCTTCTGTCATTGATTTGACAATTATGAAATGTTGACTTTTATCCTGTTTTTCATTTAACTACTTCTTTAAATCCTGATATATCGAGTCTTCCCCCCCCCTTTCTCCTGATCTAAGACCATTCCTCATCCCCCTACTTCTCCTTCATAGTCCAAGGCAACTTGCTCTCTCCCCACATCCTCCATTGTCAGTTTCAATGTTCAACCTAGTTACAACTGGGGGCCAGTCGAAGCAGCTGTAGCTCATCTTTGTTCTGAGGGAGAAGGTAGCCTATAGTCTGCCTCCTCACCAGAAAATTCCTCCTGATAGACTGAAAGAGAGGGGAGCCCTAACCCACACTACAGGGCTCCTGACACCAGGCCCTTAAAGGAACAGTGTCCTGGGATTTTCCTCCCATCCACCTCCTTATTCCCTGGGACCACTTCCCTTCTTCTGCTACCAGGCCATTTTCTGGGCCTTTGTTCATTCCAACTCCCTGGAATGGGGTCTTCTGGCCCCCTCTACTCTTAAAAGGCCAGAATACCCTGTTACAGGGGATTTCGTTGGGTCTTTTTGTCAAAATTATCAGTTTTATTTTGTATTAATTGCCTTTTTATATAAAATGTACCCCTTCTGAGTACATTTTATATATTAAGATAAAATTTAACTATATTATGTCCCATTAATTTATCAGTTCAGGTTTCATTTCTGCTGGTTGTTTCTTTTTTCAGACTTTCTATGCTGTTTATGCATTTCAAGCAAGAAGCCATCAGGAACTTAGTCTTCAGGAGTACCAGCGGGTTCGGATACTCCAGTTTTCTGACCTGAGCGGCAATAAAGAATGGTGGTTAGCAGAAGCCAAAGGACAGAAAGGATATGTACCTGCTAATTACCTTGGGAAGATGACATATGCATAGGAACAGAAAGGATTGTTGGGACTATTTTCTCTGAAATAGAGACTCAGTCAGAATAATAATCTGTTATAATTTACAGCAAACAGAGTGAACGCACACGTGGTTTATAACCCAGCTATAATATCTGGAGAGGTACATAGGCTACACTGAGAACTCCTACACGCTAAAAACCATTACTTTGTCAAGACCTGAGGAAGAGGAAGTGTTTAACAAGATTCTCTCCTAGTAACATACTTCATAAATCAGGAGTTAACACACAAATACAAAGCACAGCTAAATTTATACCTTTCTATGGGTGCCTCTCCAACATATTTAGCAAATAATATGTGAACCCAAGAGAATTAACCTTGGAAAAGGATAAATTGTGTCATCAGAATTGCCGTAAAGACTCTCTTGTTCAGATTGAGATGACTATTCCATCCCAACTCCCTATTAATGCTCAAAACATTACTTTTGGGCTGTGAACATTTACAGGAAGTCCATCGAGCCATTTATTAATTATTAGAGATGAAAAAAGTTATCTTTTAAGAACATTGTCCTTTTTGGTACTTGATCACTCAAAAAGAGCTGTTTTAAAACTTAAAACCTGGCAAGTACCTAACCTTCACTCAGAGAAGTGCATTTTGCCAGATTTGGAATAAAAAAAGTTGGTTGAGAAATAAGCAAGTTATCTTTTGACAATGACATATATAGCATGCACAATGCATAATTTTTCATAACTTAAATCTGTACCATATAGATCTAGATATATGCCCCACTAATATGTTTATATTTGGAGACCTGCACATTGCCAAATCCTGATTTTTTGCAGTTATTAGACTTTAAAATAAAATCAAGTGGTGCCTTTATTTGAATGCCTTATTGCAGTAGTTTTCAATCTGAGGCCCCCAGACTATGTCTAAGGGGTCTGCAAAAGGTGACTATGAAAATAAAGTTTTAGATCCCAGAAAAGGCATTCCGTTTTTCTGATCAATCAAAAGTATGTGAATACTCCCACCTACAGGTCAAAACCTGGAAGTGTTGTCATTACCATAGAAGCCCACAGTTTAACGCCCTTTCTCACATTGCATCAAACGCCATGCTGAGCACATGCAACATTTATAGCTGAATTCTGTTCAGTCAGTTTTCAGTCTAAGGCTTCTATGATAGGGTCCATGGACCACAGGTTGAATTTTTAGAGGGGTCCACACGTCCATTTGAAATTTTTTAGTAGACCACAAATAAAAACAGGTTGAAAACCACGGCTTTATTGCTTATGTGACCCCTTTGGGGGTGCAAGTCTAGTCATTGAGAGAACAATGCCTTGAGGAAGTGCATCTAGGTGCCCGGACTCATGGTGTGTCACGGTATCTCCTTCAGATGCTTCTATTACTCTTGGAGTATATGACTATTAGATTGGACAGTGGAAAAAAATTAGAAGTATTTGACTGTGCAATAATTAGATTTTCTAGTGTTTGCAGGATTAGGGGCCAACCTTTGTTATCACTAAAATAGCTTTAAATACTCTGATATCATCAGTGAACACAGAAATACAAAATTATGAAGAAAGATGTGATCACTGCAGTACTGCTCTTATAGGTTCCTATCATTACACAGTGGAAAGACTCCTATGGACTACAGTAGTCATCAGATAAGACCTGCAGCCCACCTCTGACCTGAAATGGTGACCTACTAACATATAAGCCCTTGTCAGGTATTTTCTGTCCTACAACATCATTGATGACTGACTGTGATAGTGACAATACAATAAAATTGATTATCAGACGGAATGGTCAACAATACACATAGGCAACAGTCATAGGCAAAGCCACTGACTGCATGTTTCCTGCTCCCCTAGCCCAAATGTACCATTTAAAGATAAAATGAATGAAACCATTTAATAGGATTCAGAAAAAAAAGAGACTACCAGCAAAGGAAGGATGAGAGAGGGTAGATTTGCTCATGAAGTGCAAAGAGGTCTGTCAAAAGAAAAATCTAGCTTTAATTTTTCCAAGAAAGGGAGAGACACTTGTTGAACTCGCAGAAGAGAAAAGGTGTGGCAGGTCATGGAGGAACTTTAGCCCTCTGTACATTGTATGACAGAAAAGGCTTGAGAGTTCACTGGTATGAACATACAGATTTTGGTATTTGAACTTCTGTGATTGATCACAATCCAAATGATAAATAAATAACAATGTGGTTACACTGCCTTATTTGTGATGCACAGGATTGTACCTAGCTGTTGCAAATTTCCATGAGTGGAATGTGCCCATCCCTTCAACAAATGTTACCATCTCATTCGATCTGTTCAGAATGCAGTTGATATTGTAAATAATATTGTCTTTATGTCAAGTAAAAATCAAAAAGCTTTGGGGTAGATTCTTATGTCAGCTTGGTGCTGCGCAGCCTTCATTATATTTAATGGGGACTATGGGCTCAAAGCCCTGCGCGTAGAGTTGAATATACTCCAATGACAAATTGCACTAATTTTGCACTACAAACAACAAAAAAGTTTTGTTATTGGAAAGCTCCCCCACAAGAAGTTTTTCAGCATGTCTTATATTTCAGAATATCTTAATTAGAGAGGATCTGCTATCTGCAGTAGCTGAAAACTGTTTTAAAGTAGCTGAATTGTGTGTAATAGGCTTAATAAGCGCCTACAAGCACAGTGATGAAGCTTTGTATGCTAGGGACTGTAGTTAAATGAAAGAACTAGGGAGTAAGATATTAAAAAGGGACTAGTGATTTTGGATGCCTCAGTATTTGTGTGCCCAGCCTGACCCATCTTAAAGGTCTCTGATTTTGAGAAAGTGCTGAGTATGCACACTATGAATATCAGCCACTTTTCAAGTGTCTCAGGCTACGTCTTCACTACGGGGGGGAGGGGGTCGATTTAAGATACGCAAATTCAGCTACGCGAATAGCGTAGCTGAATTCGACGTATCGCAGCCGACTTACCCCGCTGTAAGGACGGTGGCAAAATCGACCTCCGCGGCTTCCCGTCGACGGTGCTTACTCCCACCTCCGCTGGTGGAGTAAGAGCCTCGATTCGGGGATCGATTGTCGCGTCCCGACGAGACGCGATAATTCGATCCCCGAGAGGTCGATTTCTACCCGCCGATTCAGGCGGGTAGTGTAGACCTAGCCTTAGATTGTATCCAAAATCACTACTCACTTTTGAAAATCTTGGCCTAAGTGTCTTGATTTCACAAGGAATGAAGGACTGCGCTCTAGTACAAAAGGATGAGCTTTTCAAAGGAATCTGAGGGAGTTGGACACCTAAGCCCTATTGAATTTCACTGGGATTTGGGAGCCAATTCCCTCAGGCCCTTTTGAAAACTCCAGCCTTAATTGCTGGTGCCCAGAATATATTTTGTATATTTTAGGATAAAAATAATCTATATATCTTGAATTATATCCGCTTTCTTCCATCAACCACAATCACTTTGGAGTCACAAAAAGTTTCATTGTAATGTACTCCGTATTGACTGATGGGATTGGCTTTGATCATTTCTGAAACCTTCTTCAGTTTTAACTATTATAAATGAATGAGAATATATTTATTTTGCCAACTTTTATCTGTTTTTTAAAATAAATAAACTCAAGCCAAGAGCATTGCCAAGATGACGATGAGAAGCTGTCTGAATTAATGCCTTGCCTACACTGGAGGAATTTGGCAAAAATTCTAATGGGACCTGCTTAAAGCAGATCTAGTTGAGACAGTGCTTAAAACGCTAGAGACCCATCTACATTAGGGTTCCCTATATCGCTAACATCAGTGGAGGCAAACTGGTTTTAGTAAAGGTGTGATGGGGGTGGGAGGGAAAGAGGGGCAATTTTTTTCTAATGCAGACATGACTTCAGTGTTTGAAGGGCCTGCTCCTGTTAATCAATGACAAAACTCTCATTGACTTCAATGGAGTAAGAGTGGGCTCCAGTTTAGTAAACCAAAAAGGCACCAATCTTGCAAACACTTAAGCATGTGCGCTTTACTTACTTGAAGTCAATGGGATTGTGCACTTGCTTAAGTGTTTGTAGGACTGGGCGCCAACTTTGTCACAGTGTTTCTTCTTCGATAGGATTTTTTTTTAAAGTGATGCCATTGTGCTCTGCACAGCAATTTCAAGCCCAGTAGTTTCCAGAGCCAAACAGTGACACAGGGACTCAAGTTTTATCTTTGGCAACCACCTACTGCACTATTTTCCTTTTTGCTTGCAGTCCCTGTCCTAGACAGGATATTATTCACTTTTTCTGTGAAAACAACTTTGAGAATTATTCCTTCCAATACTTGTTTTTAAATTAATACATTTCAGTGTGTTAGCATCTATGTCTAAACTTCAAGAACACTCCTGCTTTTACTTTAGGAAAGCTCAGAAAAAATGCATATAATAGGCCCAGTCCTGCAGTGGGGTTGGGTTTCCTGTATGAGAAAGGGCTGCAGGAATGGACCCAATAATTGCAATAGAAAATATAGCTATGACAATGCTGAGTGAATCCAGATTTTTTTTATTGTAAATTCCATTTATAGCAATATTGTTTGCACACAAATTTTTAAATTCTCCTTTTAAATTATTGTAATAATAAAGATATATTTTTGCACTTGTGTTGGCTTCTTTTAAAAACAATACATTTCTGCCTGAAGCACAACAGAACATAGATCCAAGACCTATTTCCCGTTCTGTTATCAACTAGAGACCATGCTGTGATCATGATGGTAGCAGAGCAGAGGAAATGAACAGTTGCTTCAAACACTGCACTTGTCTATATTTATCTATCTTATCAATCTATCAGTATTTGTAAAGTGCCATTTAGGCACTGAACAAGGTTTAAAAATACATTGAGAAAACTGCTGTGGAGCAGTTAGTTCGGTTTTGTCCTTCCCTAGCTGTAATCTAGGCTACTGATTTGTGAACATTATTAGTTCTCTGTCTTACTCGTGGATCAATCATGAGTTGTAATAGTGAAAAGCATGTTTCACTCCTGGCTCTCAGAGAACTTTGTGCCAGATTCTGATACGCTTACTCACAATGAATAGCACTTTGCACCATAAGATTCCCAATTAATTCCAGCAGAACCACTTATAAAGCAGCATTCAGCGAAAGCGAAGTGATCAGAACTTGGCCATTTCTGAAGAATAAGCCTCCCAACACCTCTCAGAGGTAGGAAAATAGTAGACCGCCTATTTACAAGATGGATAAGCTAAGACCTTGGCCACACTACAAATACTTTGCCAGTATAGCTCTATTGGTATACTTGTACCAGCAGAGCTCCCTATTGCAGACACAGCTTACACAGACAGAAGAAGTTTTACCTGTCAATATAGTAACACCACCTCCCCAAATGACATTAACTATGCCAAAAGCAGCGCTCTTCTGTTGGCATGGCTACATCTACAGTGGGCATTTTGCCAGCATAGCTATGTTGGCTAGAAGGTGAGGTTTTTCCACATCCCGACCACACAGCTATGCTGACAAACATTTGTAGTGTAGATCTGGCCAAAGGCAGAGAGATGCTGTTACTTCTAAATCACACAATAATGCAGTCAACCTAGAACAGGGATTGGCAACCTTTGGCACATGGCCTACAGGGTAAGCCCCCTGGCGGGCCGGGACGGTTTGTTTACCTGCCGCGTCTGCGGGTTCGGCCGATTGCGGCTCCCACTGGCCGCGGTTCGCTGCTCCAGGCCAATGGGGGCAGCGGGAAGTGGCGTGGGCTGAAGGATGTGCTGAACCTGCTCTAATTTTTCAACATCCTTCTTGAAGTGTGGACCCCAGAACTGGACTCAGCATTTCAGGAGTGGTCACAGTAGTGCCCAATAGAGAATACAACTTCCTTAAAGGTTTTTCATCAAACTTCCCAAAGTCAGTCACAGACACCAAATAAAGAGAGTTTTGTTCTCAAAGGAGAATTGTTAGAAAAGTTATGAACATGTATAAACAAATGTAACATCGTCTGCATCCTTAATTATAACTAAGGTTAAGATTTTGTCACAGTTATTTTTAGTAAAAGTCATGGACAGGTTGCAGGCAATAATAATAAAAAAAAATGCATAGGAGCCGTGACTATCACTAAAAATAATGGGGAGAGGCGGGAAGGAAGAAATGACACCTGGAGCCCTATGGAGGGGACTGACAGCCCCAGCCCCACCGCCACAGGGGCTGAGGCAGAGGCACAGCCCCTGCTCCAGCTGCGGTTCGGGGGCTCCCAGCTCCGCCCCTGCCGTTGATAGCTGAAACCGAAGTCACGGAAATCCAGTAAAGTCATGGAATCCATGATCTCCGTGACTAAATCGTATCCTTAGTTATTACATCACCACTGGCAAATACTACAATACATTGTCTATGCAAACTTTAAACAAATATGAACAAACGTTTCTTCAAACTTGAGAAATGGGACATGTTTAGTCCGCTAGATCTGAAGCATACAGTATATTTACAGTCTGTTGTAGATGGAGAAAATACACAGATTTACATTGTTAAGCATATTATAGAAAAAAAAAAAAGCCAATCTAGAAATTAGCTGCATGGATATTTATTAAATGAATTATGTTATACTTCACACATATCTTTGTTTTGAAGAAACACAGAAACAAGATTAACAGATAGCTCTATTACTTCTTCAGTTTCTTTTGGGCAGCCTTCTTCTTGACCATTTGTAACCTTTTCATAGCATTGAGCTGCGATTCCTGAGAAGTAGGGCCCTTTAGGGACAGTGACTGATTGCCAGAATCTGCACTTGATTTGCTGGTGCTGCTCCCACTGTTACCTGTTGTGCTACTGCTTCCATTCCCACTATTCACCTGGCTGCTGCTGCCTGGGGCCGTGCTGCTAGGACTAGGAAGGCCAACTTTGCTGACATTGTCACTGCTCACTGAACGACTAAGACCTGTTTTCCCCAAGGTCAGAGGTGGAAGAGGTTTTAGTTGAACAGGGTTTGTGTTGTTGTTACTGGAAGCTATTTTTGACCCTAGTCCTGTTTTAGATGTTGTTAACCCTGACAAACCCACAGGTTTCTGGTTATTAGAGGAGGCTGCAGGTTTTCCGCTGGTACTCTGTGCTGTTGATCCCAGTTTGGTGGTTGATGGACCGGTGGAGGAGGTTTTGGCTGCAAAAGCCGCCCATCCAGTAAGGCCACTGGTTGCTGAAGAGGAAACACTGGTACCGGTTGAGTTCCCCGAAATTGCTGCTGTGGTCTAAAATCAATCAATCCTATATTAGTAATGTTTGAACACATAGCAGGAACGGTTATGATCAAACTTCAGTTTCATATTCTTTACACAAAAATATCCATTAGACAATATTCTGATATTTCATCCTGGATTATCTCAGTCAAAAGCAACACAGAGAAAGGAAAGGAGACAGGTGCAGAGTCTTTGTCTTCACTGAAAATGAAGTTAGTATTATCATTTCTTTCCTTTTTCTAACCAGCGAACAGGATACCATATGGCACAATGATCCTTCACTAAACTCTATAAAAAGGCAGTCTATCTGAAGTAATTAAAAAGATCAACACTTGTGAAGTATAAATGAGAAAGGCAGTCCACTAGATTGTGTGTGATTCTGTTACCCCGAGCTGCTTTTTAAGAAGATAACAGATGGTCTATCACATAATCAGACCGCAGGCAATGAAAATAATGCAGATACCAGAGTCTCTTGATCATTTTATAAAAAACAGTATTTTCCCCCAGCCCTCCTGATTACTGTCCGCCTGTACCTGCCATGCCCCCACCACATACACACTTAAACTATCCACAAAAGTTACTGGATTTGTTTCCATTTAGTGTTTCTGTTAATGCGCTACAATAAATAATACTCAACACTTATTATAGTGCTCTTCATCTTCAAATACACCTCTACCCCGATATAACGCTGTCCTTGGGAGCCAAAAAATCTTACTGCGTTATAGGTGAAACCGCATTGTATTGAACTTGCTTTGATTCCCCGGAGTGCGCAGCCCCGCCCCCCAGGAGCAGTGCTTTACCGCATTATATCCGAATTCGTGTTATATCAGGTCGCGTTATATCGGGGTAGAGGTGTAGCTTTAAAACAGTAATTAATCTTCATAACACATCGTGAATAGTTAGCCTTTGTTTACATTTGAGGAAAACTGATACATGGATATTAAATAATTCACCCAAAGTTATTCAGTGAGTCTGAGTTAAGGCTTAGGGGTTCTCCGCTCCAATCCTCTGCTCAAACCATATTTCCTCCCCCCCCCGCAGCACATCCATGAAGTTTCTAAATGCTGAGAATTATGACTGAAATTAGGCATTGATCCTGCAATTATTTATGCGAGTAACTTTTCAGATGTATAAAGTTATTCACATGAATACTTGTTTGCATCATAGGCATCATATTATCCATATGGGCTCCTGTCATAACTATAAGGGGAAGGGCAACAGCCCTCCTGTGTACAATACTATAAAATCCCTCCCGGCCAGAGACTCCAAAATCCTTTTACCTGTAAAGGGTTAAGAAGCTCAGGTAACCTAGCTGACACCTGACCCAAAGGACCAATAAGGGGACAAGATACTTTCAAATCTTGGTGGGGGGAAGGCTTTTGTTTGTGCTCGTTGTTTTGGTGGGAGTTCGCTCTTGGGACTAAGAGGGACCAGACATCAATCCAAGGTCTCCAAATCTGTCTGAACAAGTCTCTCCTATTTCAAACTTGTAAGTACAGCCAGGCAAGGCGTGTTAACTTTATCTTTGTTTTCTCAACTTGTAAATGTACCTTTTGCTAGGGTGTTTACCTCTGTTTGCTGTAACTTTGAACCTAAGGCTAGAGGGGGGTCCTCTGGGCTCTTTAAGTTTGATTACCCTGTAAAGTTATTTTCCATCCTGATTTTACAGAGATGATTTTTACCTTTTTCTTTAATTAAAAGCCTTCTTTTTAAGAACCTGATTGATTTTTCCTTGTTTTTAGATCCAAGGGGGTTGGATCTTGATCCACCAGGAGTTGGTGGGAGAAAGGAGGGGGGATGGTTAATTTCTCCTTGTTTTAAGAGCCAAGGGATTTGGAGCTGTATTCACCAGGGAATTGGTGAAGAGTCTCTCAAGGCTACCCAGGGAAGGGAATTAGCACATTGGGAGTGGTGGCAGTGGACCAGATCTAAGCTGGTAGTTAAGCTTAGAAGTTTTCATGCAGGCCCCCACATCTGTATCCTAAACTTCAGAGTGGGGAAGGAGCCTTGACAGCCCCCATACATGGAAAGCAGTTAAACATATGAATAACTTTATGCACGTGAATAGTTCTTCTGATTTCAGCATGCTTAGGCTTGGTCTACACCTAATACTTACATCAGCACAACTATGTTAGCCAGGGTGTGAAAAAACCAAGCCCCTACGGAAACAGTTACGCCAATAAAATCCCCAATGTTGACGCAGCTATTCTGACAGAAGAATGCTTCTGTCGACATCGCCAACATCATTCGGAGAGGTAGTATTCGTACACCAGCAGAAAAACTTCTTCTGTCATTGTATGCTGCAACTACACTCGCTATGCTGGCATAGCCATCCGTAAGGTAGACATTGTGACACTGGCAGACCAGGTGCCAGCTCATGCCAAGGCCACTGGGCCTCAATGAATGCGACAAATGCCTAGCTGGAAACCAGTCTGGCTTGCCTGTGCGTTAGCATTGTTAAAATAGATATCAGAGTTACAAGAATGTGTTTAGACTTCATGAAATGCTTGTAGGATGCTGCATGTATTAATCTTAATTATAACATCTGTATCCCATGTTATAAGGTAATATTTAAGGGTTTGCTTTGGAACTATAAAAATGCTTGCTCAGACTGTAAACCCCACAGTCAACAGACAAGCATTACCAGGTGTGAAATACAAGAGGTGTCGTCTCCTCCCCCCAAAAAGAAGGCCTATAGAAACCAGTCAAACTATTGTGGAGCATCAATGAACAAAAGACTTTGTTGATTGCTTTCCCCAACACCCATGAAGTGGGTACCCATACAAGCCCTCATCCCACCACAGCTTGAATGCTGGGGGAAGGGAATAAAAATCCCTGTTAAAGAGAAATTGTGATCACTATGCTGCTTGAAATTCAGAGAGGGCAAAATTTCTAAGCAAGAGCAAGAGATCCCCAAGCTGATTGGTTTGGATTAGCCTTAAAGGATATATAGAGCTTGCATATTATAACAACTACTATTATGTGTTGGAACCTAAGACTGTATCTCATTCGTGTGTGTATGTTTACCTACTTTAACCTTGTAAATAACTCTCGTTTCTTTTTCTTAGTTAATAAATCCTTAGTTTATTACAGGACTGACTGTTAACACTGTCTTTGGTAAGAGATCTGAGGTGCAACTGACCTGGGGTAAGTGTCTGGTCCTTTGGGACTGGGAGTAACCTGAATATTGTTTCGACTTTTGGTGTAAAAGATCATCTAACACAAAGGCAGGCTTGCCTGGGTGGCAAGATAGATCAGACTGCCCAAGGGGACAGTCTGTGACTCTGTGGTAAGGCTGTTCTAGAGTTTGTGGAGTTCCCATTTGTTACTTGGCTGGTGAAATCTATCTATAGAACATACAGCCAGTCTGAGGTTTTGTGCCCTGCTTCTTGACAGTCTGCCCTGAAGTTGGCACCCACGCTCGTGGGCCACTCCAGACAGCTTGACTGACACAGCCTTACAGTTTCACATGCACTTAAGTGCTTTGCTGGACTGGGGTCACAGTTTGTTAGGCTACTCAAGATATTTATTATGCTGTTGCTGTGGCTTCTGGTTTATCTCCTTTTATCACCTCATGACAACCTTTAACACTGAAAAATAACCCAGAGAAGGAGAAAGATGAGACAAGGTATAGAAGAGGAAGGGATCTCACAAATTAGATCTTACAGAAGCAACAGGGCTTCTTCAGTATCATAACAGAAGTCTTGCAATTGCAAATGCATGCATGTTACTTAAGAAAGGATGTGAACTGCTGTCCTTTCTATGAGCGTGAAGATTTCTTACTTTTATAGAAATGCCATTTAAAAAAACAAACCAGAACAATCTACTTTTTTTTCCTCCTTATAAAATAAAAAAGTCAAGAAACTGAAAATTCACTATGTTACAGCACTACCGAATACAGATAAGGGCCTGTATTTTCATTTGGGGTTTTGATCACGTGAAAGAGCAAGGTGGGGTTCTGACAAAGGAAAAAAACAGCTGTACAAAATTTAAGCAAGAACATTTCATATATGCAATAAAATGAAAGCACTTAGAGAGAGAGTTTAATGTACAGCACCTTGACTTCTGTCCTCTTGAATGCTAGGAAAGTTGTTGGGGTATCCAGCTTGAGCTTAATTTCAGGTTTCTTTACCAATGGATCTTTCACAGTTGGTGCTACTGAAACTACTGCAGGAGCTGGTTTCTGAGGTGGTTTCTGAGTCTTTTGAGCCTGCATAAATAATAATTAAACTCAAATTAGTTATGTTTCTGTACTTACGACGAAGATTTAATCAGAGTGACAACAGAAAACATGAATATTATGAGATCACAACATTAGCCACTAGAATACTATCTTAGATGAGACCTGGAAATTAAGCATTGAGAAAACAGGTCAGGTGGAACCCAACTTAGATTTGTAGGGAGGTTTCCAGCTGACAGGTAGGTGGGATTGAGTCCCATACCATGGGAAGATTCCAGCAACTGACAGGCACGCTGGGAGGGACCATATATTTGAGTGGGCAAACAAAGGCGGGAGGAGGAGTCAGGAGTTAGGCCTGATGGAGGAGTGTACGGAACTGGTGGATGAAGGGACAGGGAAGGAAAATATTGGGAAAAATTATGGTTAGAAACCAGCTTCTGGGAAGCAGATTGCAGGGCTCTTTTCAGAGAAAGCAGTAAGGTGGCAGCATTTTTGCTGAGGTAGCAAAAGGAAACTGTAGCCTGCAAAGGGAAAGCTGACATATGGCAGTTGGACGGGGAGGTGAGTGAGATGCTCTGTACCTCGGGTGAACACACTACGCCCCCATGTTCATCTTTATAAAATAATTGCGTGGTATCCAATGCAAAGTTTGTCATGTTGGGTGTCTTCGTAAGGCTCATGATGCACGGAACATGGTTGTTATAGTGATGTTATAGTAATTGTTACAGTAATGTTTTAGTAAGGTTATAAGTTATAATTTCATGTATATAGTTATGAGGCTGAAAATGTATCCTCATGGCTTAAAGCAAGCCTAGGCAAAAACTCTCCAAGAGCAGAGAGGCAGTTCACACCTCATCAGGGCATCTATGGGACAAGCCCAGCCTAGCCTCACAGGAACAAAGGATACTGGCCTAGGAAACAACAAAAGGATCTGTTAGACTCTCAAGTGAGTCCCCCCCCTTCCTTTGGTCAGTTTGGAACTGCGATGAGGTAATGCTCACCTGACTCTGAAAGGAGGGAGGCAAAGCCAAGAGGGAAGAAAGAACATGATAAAAGGGAGAGACGTTTGCCATGCACTCTCTCTTGCACTTACATCTATAGACATCACCACCAAGCGACTGAAGCGCTGATCAAAGGGGAGAGCCTGGTTGAAGAGCAACCAGCCAGCCTGTGGTGAGAAGCATCTAAGTTTGTAAGGGCATTGAAAGTGTTAAGATCAGTGTAGAATGCGTTTTACTTTTATTTCATTTGACCAAATCTGACTTGTTATGCTTTGACTTATAATCACTTAAAATTTATCTTTGTAGTTAATAAATCTGTTTGTTTATTCTATCTGCAGCAGTGTGTTTGGTTTGAAGTGTGTCAGAAACTCCCCTTGGGATAATAAGTCTGGTACATATCAATTTCTTTGTTAAATTGATGAACTGATATAAACTTTCAGCATTCAGCGGGCATAACTGGACACTGCAAGACAGAGGTTCCTAGGGTAGTGTCTGGGACCAGAGATATTGGCTAGTGTCATTCCGTTGCACAATCCAAGGAGCATCTTACATGCCAAAGGCCATGCGTGAACAGCTCAGGAGTGGGGGTTCTCACAGCAGAGCAGGGTAAGGCTGGCAACCAGAGTCAAGGATTGGAGTGACCTAGCAGACTACCAGCCCAGATAACACTAGAGGGGAATGTCACAGTGAGCGTGAAATATTTATATCGATGGATGAATATGGTACTGCAGTGCAATTTACTGAGCACAAGTAAGCAGTCCTGAGTTCAAAGGACTGAAGATAATCAAAGTAGTAAAACGACTACTGAAATCAATTAATAACTTTCACTGGCTATAGCAAAAACATTTTAAATGAGATTTTCCTAATAGAAAGGTCATTTCAACAGGTAACATTTTGCCGGGTTATCACAAAGTAGCTTCAAAATTTAACAGAATTTCTTCTGTATAACGTCTCAGTTTTAAAAGGTCTCAAAATTCAAGATGAATGACCTGATGATTTATGTTTTGTGCAAATAAAGATGTTTTCTTATTCCAGTGATAACTTACTTTTATGTTATTTTCAGCTTTTATAAATTGTTTCTAATACCAAAAGACACTTTTTACCAACAGATTTTGACTCGTTATGAAACTCAGAAGTCAACAGCCTACTTACTAAAGAAATTAGTTAGACGCTATCAGATTTATTTCTTATTTTGGCTTGTGGATCTCTTCTGTGCTAACCCCAGATGCTTTTGTTTGCTTGTAACCTTTAAGCTGAATCCCCAAGAAGGCTATTTTGGGTGCTTGGTTTTTGGAATTGCTCTTTTAAAATCTAGCAAAAGCCTAAGTTCCAGATGTATTTTCTTTCTTTTTGTTTTTAATAAAATTTACCTTTTTTAAGAACAGGATTGGATTTTTAGTGTCCTAAAAGGTTTGTGCATGTTGTTTGATTAGCTGGTAGCCACAGCTAATTTCCTTTGTTTTCTTTCTCAGATGTTCCCCGGAGGGCTGTGTGTGTGTGAAAGGGCTTGAGAGTACCCCACAGGGAGGAACTCCCAAGTGCTCCTTTCTGGGTTCAAAGGGAGTTTTTTGCATTTGGGTGGTGGCAGCATTTACCAAGGCCAGAGAGAAGCTGTAACCTTGGGAGTGTAATAAAGCCTGGAGTGGCAAGTATTAATTTTTAAAATCCTTGCAGGCCCCCACTTCCTGCACGTGGAGCGACAGAGTGGGGATTTTAACCCTTTACAGGTAAATCAAGCAGAGAACAGACACCAAGAGGGATTTTACAGCTAACTGGGTGTCCATAAGGGAGCTCCCCCTGCCCTTCAGTTATCACACAGCCCAAACGAATTGCTGTCTCCAAATACTACTCATGTTAGACAAAAAACTGACTCTTACCATTCTCTTCATCTGCCTGGTACAGCGGGCACAATACCACACGAGGCGAGGATCATTGACTTCTTTGTCTGTCACCTGAGGTTTATGACAATCCTGGTGGTAGAGATTATGGCACTCCTGACACTCTACTAACTGATTTCCAGAAGTAACTGTCATTTGCCTGCAAAACAAACAGTTGAGAACACGTTACTGATGAAAGCACTTTAAGGTTATCTAGTCATTGTAATCTTTGCAAGGCTTAATATAAAAAGTTAGAAATATACTTATGCTATGGATACACTTTCTATTCTTAGCAAAATGAAAAAGATCCCTTTTCTAATGTATGAGTTCTTCCTAACAACCATCTTTCAAACTTTTTGTTGCTTTGAAGTAGACTCTAAAGAAAAGCTCAGAATTTTAGATTATTATTATAAACACATCTACAAGTCACCTGTAAAGGAAAAAGTCATTTGGTTTGTTCCCTTATGATGTATAAAGCTCTGAAAAATGTTCCATTACTATTACTAGTACTATTACTATACCATTTGAGTGCCTAGGGAACAACATTGTTGTAAGATGTTGAACTGTATTGCTCAACAACAAATAGGAGTCTCAATGACAACCATTCTTATACTCCTGGGGGAATTCTGTGCCACTGTGCCCGTGCAGAATCCATGTGCCATTCAGAATTTCCCTCCCCCCTCACAGAAAATACATTCTGCCAGAAAGGAGTTGCAATTACTCCTTTTGACCACCAAGGGCTGCTGTGGCACCAGAACAGAGAGCAGCCACTCCCGGGCAGGAGCAGCCCCAGCTGCAGATAGGGAAGAGAAAGAGGCTGCCTTCCTCACAGCAAACTGCCCATGGGGCCGGGTCAGGAGGCACAGAATATGGGGGGATAGACAGCATGGGGCACGTGGGGCTGCTGGGGTGTGTGTCACAGACTGGTGTTCAGAAGGGATAGTGTGGGGGACAGACTGGGGCGGGGGCTGAGTGGGGGTGCAGGGACTCATGTGGACAGGGGGCTGCAGGGACACATGGGGAGAGGGAAGTGGCTGAGTGGGGGTGCAAGGACACCTGGGGATGGGGGGGGGTGCAGGGACACACAGGGATGGGGGGTATAGGGACATATGGGGATGGGGCAGATGTGCCTGACTGAATGAGAAGCTAGGGGTCAGCATGGCAGAGGCTCCCTAACAATCCTTCCCCCCACCCAAAATCTGTTCCATACTTCTCCCACCCACACTCAATAGCCCTCCAAGTTTACACCCAGGCTCCGTCCCAGCAATTACTTCCCTCTCGCTCAGCTCCTCTGTTATCCTTGACTCCCCTCCTTCTGAGGGAGATGGGAAATATGTTTCTGTACTGTAGTTTCAATGAATTTATTACTCAGAGTTATGTATTAATATGCCTAGTAAGGAATCTATTTGTCAAAAAACATTTCCTGCATCTTTTTTGTTGTCTGTATTGTTACAAACATAGTTGCTGACAGGTATTTTAAAATAAATTACCAAAATAATTGAAACTGGTGTGATTATACTGTGCTATTTTGACAAATAAAATATGCAGAATTTTAAAATATTGTGTGTGTAATTTTAATTTTTTTGGTACGGAATTCCCCCAGGACTAATTCTTTCAGTTAAAGGAGTCAAAAAAACCAGGATGCAAGTAGTACACTATTTTGTGGAACTTTTAGTAACCATCCTTCGCTCCACATCACAGACAGACATTAGAAACATAAGATAATGCCAATATCATGGAGAGATGGAACAGAAAGGATTAGCTATGCAGTTCTGCTTTGAAACAAATATGTAAGCTGGTGATGAGGACTTAGTTTTGTGTGGGTCTCTGCTGAAAAGAATCACATTGTATAAGTGACAAATTAGTGACGTACATAAGACTGGAAGTATGTCTGTGAAATAGTCAAATTGCATTTTCCTAATGATTTCTTCTTTCAGATGACAAATCAGGCTATTTAATTGCTAAGCTGCTTTTTGCTCATCTCCCTGAGGAGCAGGTACCTAGGTAACCATGGAAACTCTATTTGTGGATGGGTGGGGAAAGGTGGTATCTTTTTTCTTTATATAACAAGGAAATGAAATCAGAAGATGTTGTCGATATAGTTGTAAGAACAATTTTTGAAAAATATCTATTTCTTTTTTAACTAGGCTATTTAAAAAACAAAGCAAGAAATGTTTCAGAAATTCTGGGGCACATTATTTATATTCAGGATATTTCAGAAGCCATTTGATTCTTGAAAAATAGATTGGGTCAGAACAAAGCATCTCTGTTTCAACTGCATGTGACAAGGGAACAGACTAATCTCCATATTTTAAAACTATAAAGGACAATTTTGGATGGATTACAAAAAAATAAACTTTTCATGCCAAGAAAAGTCAAAGCCTGACTTACTTTAAGCTAGTCTTTAAATCAAGAGACAGCCTGAATGGTTTTGTATCTTTTAAAAATGGAGACAAAATTAATGTATTCATTACAGTTTAGAAGGCTATTCTTGAAAAGAGAATGCGGATTCTTCCTAAATGCTCTTTCTTTGACAGGACTTCAATGTCACCTGCAAGTCACACACAACATTTTCCTTTGTAATATTTTTGCTTTTGATTCTTTAAGGTTCCCATAACTAGTGACTTGTGTTTTTTCCTTAAACATCTGTAGGCGGAAGGGAGGGCCAGGCATTAGCCGGGGGAGGAAGGGGGGCAAACTTTTTGGCCCGAGGGCCACATCTGGGTATGGAAATTGTATGGCGGGCCATGAATGCTCACGAAATTGGGAGTTGGGGTGCAGGAGGGTGTGAGGGCTCTGGCTGGGAGTGTGGGCTCCGGGGTGGGGCTGGGGATGTGGAGTTGGGGGTGCTGGAGGGCCGGATGTGGCTCCCGGGCCATAGTTTGCCCACCTCTGCGTTAGAGGGAGGGGATTTTGTACCTCCCTCCCATACTGACATTTAAAAAAAAAAAAACAGAAAAGAAAAGAAAATGGGGGTCACTCTAGAACTGCTACTTGCACTCGTCTAATTTGCAAAGCTGCACTCAGATCTCACTCTACAATAGTGCGAAAAGTGAATAAGCAGTCTCACTGTTAGTGCACGTTTCAGGGAGTTAGAACACTTCCTTTCTAATGCTGGCTCTGCAGTGACTTGCTATGTGACACTGAGCAAGTCACTTCATCTCTCTGCATTTCAGATTCCATATGTGTAAAATGGAAATAACACAGATAGCAGTACAGATAAACTGGCAAATGACTCTTTTTTTGTTCTGTGTTTGTATACTTCCTCACACAACAGGGTCCTTGCCAGGACTGGGGTTCCTCAGTGCTACTGCAATGCAAATAAGTTATAATAATAATCATAATATTTGGGCTCTCCTTTTCTTCTTAATGCAGTTTAGCTAAGTGTTTCACATTTGGATATGAAGTTTTCATTAGCAGATAGCCAAATATTATGAAGTTTCACTTTCAAAACACTATATGTATTTGCTTTACTTTACAGAAGAATTCAACACCTTATTGTTAAAATGTTGTGTTTAACATTGACACTTTTTTGTAGATTTTTAAAGAGAGTCTAAACCATATTTGTTTACAGTATTCAATATTTCTGCTCAGATTAAACAAAAAAGCACCAATATTGAAGCAGGAGTTAATACTGGAAATCCCAACCCTAACTGAAGCCTCACTCAGTAAGCCTTAATTAAAAAACAAACAAACTTTCTAATTCAAGGCTATAGCAGGACACAAGCATTAGTGTCCTTTAGTAGTACTGTGGAAGCAAGGACAAGTAAATAAAACATTTGACAGAGTAAGAATGCTTCTTACATAGTTGTAATAAATCTAATAAACAGCAACTTATCTGCTGTCTTAAAATGTGGTTGGGATGTTGTGCATAGGCCTGTATTCTAAGTTGCGCCAGGTAACAAAAGTTCAACTCTGACTATAAAATACAATTTTTATAAAGGTAAGCAAAAGTTGAAGATAGAAAGACTGGTCCAAACTGTATTGTTTCAGTTAGAAGAACTGGGATAAAGTTGTGACAAATATGGCAGCTTCCTACAATTTTCTTGAAAAATCTTATTGAATTCAGTTTAAGTATCTTTGGAGTCCATTGTACTAAATGTAAAGTTTAAGTGTTAAGTGGATTTCTTGGGAAATACCTAGAGGAAAGTTAATGTAAATTCCCCATTTCTAGTTATGTAAAAAACCTGATTTTTGAAGTTATGCCCTGAGCAGAGGGCCTCTGTCTGCCAATTATCTGTGCCCAGAGACTGGTGACCAAAGGCCGAGGCTATGGCTACTCTACAGTTTGCAGTTGTGTCACTGTAGCGCTGCTAGTGCAGTAGCCCTAAGCCAACAGGAGAGACCTCTCCTGCTGACATAGCGCTGTCCACACTGGTGCTTAGGTCAGTGTAACTTACATTGCTCAGAGGGGTGGCTTATTCACACCCAGAGTGACATAACTTATATCGACATAAGGTGTAGTGTGTACGTAGCCTGAGCTGTATAAAGAAACAGCTAAAATGGCCAGACTTTGTTCTGGTTCTGAATCTGAGACAATTATAGACTTGTAACTATGGTGAAACCCAGTTGTGGGTTTTGCAGGACTGACACCACTGTCTGAGGTTGGATTCGGGGGTGACTTCTAGTTAGCTCTTTAGCATGCATGTGGGTTCTTTTATTGTTTTAATGCTTTCACCTTAAGAACAATGTGCTTGCTTAGAAAGAGCTGTGTGGTAACTTGGAATCGCTGGCAATTACACTGGGCATAGCCTCCACAGAGAGAGTTAAGTGCAGCTGGTGGCCTTTTAGGTAGTCTGGCTTGCTGAGGATATCACAGTGTAAATAAGGGAACTCCAGTTTCTGCCAAAGAGAGATTCATAGATTCTAGGACTGGAAGGGACCTCGAGAGGTCATCAAGTCCAATCCCCTGCCCTCCTGGCAGGACCAAATACTGTCTAGACCAGTGGTTCCCAAACTTTGACAACCTGTGAACCCTTTTCACTAAAATGTCAAGTCTCGTGAACCCCCTCCTAAAAATGAATATTTCCAGGGATTTTCTCCTTTACCTGAGTATAAATTATAAAAGCAGTGATCTTGGAAATATAAAAACAAATTTTATGGACATGCTTATTACACACTATTTATTAGTAATGATTATTAACATTACAGTATTTTTATTAGAATCAAACGAAATGCAGAGACAACATTTCTCAATACTTTAAATGACTGCTTCTTGGAGCAGCTAGTACAGGAACCCACAAGGGGAGAGGCAACTCTCGATTTAGTCCTGAGTGGAGCGCAGGATGTGATCCAAGAGGTAACTATAACAGGACCGCTTGGAAATAGTGACCATAACATTTAACATTCCTGTGGTGGGAAGAACACCTCAACAGCCCAATACTGTGTTATTTAATTTCTGAAAGGGGAACTATGCAAAAATGAGGAGATTAGTTAAACAAAAATTAAAAGGTACAGTGACTAGAGTGAAATCATTGCAAGCTGCATGGACACTTTTCAAAGACACCATAATAGAGGCTCAACTTAAATGTATACCCCAAATTAAAAAACACAGTAAAAGAACTAAAAAAGAGCCACCATGGCTTAACAACCATGTAAAAGAAGCAGTGAGAGATAAAAAGGCATCTTTTAAAAAGTGGAAGTCAAATCCTAGTGAGGTAAATCGAAAGGAGCATAAACACTACCAAATTAAGTGTAAAAATGTAATAAGAAAAGCCAAAAAGGAGTTTGAAGAACAGATAGCCAAAAACTCAAAAGGTAATAACAAAATGTTTTTTAAGTACATCAGAAGCAGGAAGCCTGCTAAACAACCAGTGGGGCCCCTGGACGATCGAGATACAAAAGGCGCACTTAAAGACGATAAAGTCATTGCGGAGAAACTAAATGAATTCTTTGCTTCAGTCTTCACGGCTGAGGATGTTAGGGAGATTCCCAAACCTGAGCTGGCTGTTGTAGGTGACAAATCTGAGGACTTGTCACAGACTGAAGTGTCACTAGAGGAGGTTTTAGAATTAATTGAGAAACTTAACTGTAACAAGTCACCGGGACCAGATGACATTCACCCAAGAGTTCTGAAAGAACTCAAATGTGAAATTGTGGAACTATTAACTAGGGTTTGTAACCTGTCCTTTAAATCGGCTTCTGTACCCAACGACTAATTTAATGCCAATATTTAAAAAGGGCTCTAGAGGTGATCCCGGCCATTACAGACCGGTAAGTCTAACGTCAGTACTGGGCAAATTAGTTGAAACAATAGTAAAGAATAAAATTGTCAGACACATAGAAGAACATAAATTGTTGGGCAAAAGTCAACATGGTTTCTGTAAAGGGAAATCATGCCTTACTAATCTATTAGAGTTCTTTGAAGAGGTCAACAAACATGTGTCTGTACTGTGTACAGATGTGGTCCCCTCATCTCAAAAAAGATCTACTGGCATTAGAAAAGGTTCAGAAAAGGGCAACTAAAATGATTAGGGGTTGGGAACGGGTCCCATATGAGGAGAGATTAAAGAGGCTAGGACTTTTCAGCTTGGAAAAGAGGAGACTAAGGGGGGGATATGATTGTGGTATATAAAATCATGAGTGGTGTGGAGAAAGTGAATAAGGAAAAGTTATTTACTTGTTCCCATAATACAAGAACTAGGGGCCACCAAATGAAATTAATGGGCAGTCAACCTGTGGAACTCCTTGCCTGAGGAAGTTGTGAAGGCTAGGACTATAACAGGGTTTAAAAGAGAACTGGATAAATTCATGGAGGCTAAGTCCATTAATGGCTATTAGCCAGGATGGGTAAGGAATGGTGTCCCTAGCCTCTGTTTGTCAGAGGGTGGAGATGGATGGCAGGAGAGAGATCACTTGATCATTTCTTGTTAGGTTCACTCCGTCTGGGGCACCTGGCATTGGCCACTGTCGGTAGACAGGATACTGGGCTGGATGGACCTTTGGTCTGACCCCGTATGGCCATTCTTATGTTCTTATGTATTACATTATGAAAACAGCAACACTCTTCCAAGATCTCACTTTTGTAGCTTGTATCACTTTGAATAAGCCTGTTATAAGACAAGGCTCCTATGTTTCATCAAGGAGTATCAGATGTGAAACAGCATGAAGGTATTTAAGAAGCCAATCCAAAGAGTTCCTCCTACACAAGCATTCGGGGCTTGAGCAGTCCAGACAAACAACGCACGTTACAACAAAACTTAAACTTCATAATAATTTTAAAAACAATCCTAGCTGCCTATTTAATTTTAAGAACAGCAAAAAATATCCACCTCCCTTTCCATTCCTTAAAAGGAGTCTTGAAGTTTAAATCTCCTCAGTGTGATAGATATGCTTGCTTTGATCTGCTTAGCTCTTGGAAGTCCAGGGGCTCCAGGCTGCTGGCCCTGTGCTGCCTGGGGTCCCTAGGGACAGCTCTGTGTGCCATTAGGAATTTTTTTCCGGGAACCCCCTGTAAAATTTCGTTAACCCCCAGGGGTTCACGAACCCCAGTTTGGGAACCACTAGTCTAGACCATCCCTGATGAGACATTTATCTAACCTACACTTAAATATCTCCAGAGATGGAGATTCCACAACCTCCCTAGACAATTTATTCCAGTGCTTAACCACCCTGACAGTTAGGAACTTTTTCCTAATGTCCAACCTAAACCTCCCTTGCTGCAGCGAGTTCCATCTTTTGCAACAGAGCTATAAACCCGTAACCAAAAAGGCTAGCTAAAAGCAATGCCTTAACAAGCCTGACAATGGTAAAAGTTTGCCAAGTCATGGAGTGGCTGAAAAAACATATGCTGGGCTTGTGCTTCTCCAGCAGCAAGACTGCAAGTGAAAATCAGCTCCACAGACAAAAGCTGCATTTTCTTTCTTGGCTGTTCTTTTACCTCTTCTTTTGTGCATGTTTTTTGTCTTAAAAGAAACTGGATCTGACTTCAAGGACAACAGCAGCAGTAACATCTCAAGACCAGCTAAACTCAAAACCTTTTCCTCTCAAAAGGACAGTTAATACCATTGTTAATACCATCTGAAAAGTCTGTCAAATAGGGGTAAAAGACTCTATTCAGCTAAAAGGGAATAATGTAAATTGTTAAAATGAAAGCTTTACTTAATACTTTGCATTTCAAATGCTTTAACTGTTTTTCCTTCTTTTTCTGTGTCTTTAATAAAAGATTAAAAAGACTTTCTCCCATTTATAACAATCATCATAAAAGTCTGCAATAACTTGACACAAAAATTCAAACCACAATTAACTGTTTGATTACTTATCCATTGTTGGACCCGAGATACTCCTTAATTAACACAGCAAGAGCCTGAAAAGTAACTGAATAAGTAAGTAAGTAAATAAATAAGATAAATTTTCTTATTCAACAACTTTGATTCGTGTCACAAAATACGTGCTTGCTACTTTTTCCTTCTACTAGCCCTGCAAAGCTTGTACGTCACCAACAGAATTGTCACTTAAGTTACAATTTCAACGTCATTATTAGTAGTGAAGATGCATAAGTCAGACAAACCCATCTTGACTCATGAATTCCAAGATAAATTTTCAGGGCTGGCCATTCAAAAAAAACAAAACAAAAACAAACCATTTTACTTGTAAACCAATTGAAAATCATTTTGGAAACATGGAAAAACAAACATAGAATGTTATCAATGTCACTTTTAAAACACACTTCAGAATAGAGCCTAACTTGAAGCGCACTGCTCATAGGTAGTGATTAACTGTAAAGTTTGACTACCAATATTTAAAATGAATACTTGTGCTATATTTATATACTGGCTACTTAAGATGTTCAATGATTCTCCCGCTCCACCCAAGATGTGCAGAAGTCTTATCATTAGCAAAACATTGTTATGGTAAATAATTTCTCCAAAGACTTGATATTTGTCTTACTGTGACTTAGAAATTTTTCTTCTTAAAGGCCTCACATTTCAGGAAAGCATCTGTATTCAGGAAGCCACTTAAACATATGATTAATTTGAGGTATGTGCTTAAGTCGCATTGAAGTGCTTTCTACAATCAGGTCTAAGATTATTTATAAAATAAAAAAAACTCTGGTCTAATTTGATATGGAGACACTGAGAGACGACAAATATAGAACTAATTTGTCATTTTCAAAGAAGAACTCATTAGAAGGAGTGTGTGTGTCTGACAAAGCATGAGTCACTTACCGGCAAACAACGCAGGCTAAGCCCATTTCCATGGCAAAATCATCAGCACTGGTTTCATCAAAACTAGACAGATCAGGCATGGATAAATCCTTGCTAGTCTGGACTGTGATAGGGGACGAACGAGTCTCTTGCTTCTCTAGCCTGGGTTTCTTTGGAACATCAACTCCTTCACCAATTTCCACTTTCATCTATTAAACACCACACACAGAGATGGTGAAAATGTGAAAAGTTAGTGGTTAGTTGTTATCTAAACAACTAACTGGCATAATTAATTTACAAATACAAGTAGGTAAATTATGCGCTGTGGATCTGCACAATACATCTGGCATGCTTTCCTAGAGATAGAAATACATTCCCACCAAAACATTTGTGAACTAAAACATAGAAAAGTCATCAGTTGTACAACTCACAATGATTTGTAAAAGATTCAGTGGTCTTATATAACAGTTTAGCATATTTTTATTGATTCTTCTCCTCCCAACAAAAAGTAGTATATAAAGACATTTGGGAAAAGTTATGATAAATCCTCTGTTGTACTGTCGGGTCTGTGCTAACTTATGATCCTATGGAGCGAGAGGTGACATGCTGCAGATGCAACTACAATGAGTCAGAATAGCCAAGTTCTGCATGAACAATTTGATTTTGGATGAATAATAATTTTAAATTCAAGCACAAAAGGAGCTCTTTTAGTCCACTATTATTTCACTATTAGAACCAAAATTGGGCTTACTTTATCAGCAGTCCTCTTCTCTGTTTCTTTTTTCACCTTTTCTGTTGTGATGGGCTTGCCATTATTGTTGCCTGAAGGCAGACTGGACGAAGCTTTAGGCTCCTGCTTACTGGAAATTGGCTTGGTAATAGACACTTTGGGTTGCTCTACTTCCTAAAAAAATGAAAAAAAATGCTGATAAACATAACACATAAGACACTTGCTACTTTGCAACTGCTTAGGTCACAAATCTAGGTAAGCATCATATTTTCTATTCACTCATTTAAAAAATGGCACAACATTGTATAACCAGTCGTATAACAAGTGTTTCCATTTTTTTTTAATCTTCTCAGAGGTAAATATTACTGGGATCTAGAACAACATTAACCAGTCAAATCACATATGTGAATAAGTGTACCTTGGCCCTCTGGAGTGAATTCTACCCCACCTCCATCTCCTCTTACTATTCACCATTTCAGAGAGAAGTTTGTTTATTTTTCTGGATCCCTAAGTGCATCTTCCCTTTGGAACGTTAATATCAAACTTTCATACTTCCAAAATTCACAGCCACAATGAGCAGATATTTTCAGATAGTTCTGATGACAAAATTCAATTTACGTAACCATATATAAATTGGCTTCTGGTGTCAGTGAACATCAATATCTCATTCCTTCTGGGAGGAAAATATTGATCTTTGCTTAATCTTGGTCAATATTTACCTCTTGGGTCAATAAATCTTGATATGCATCTCAACACAAGTCAATAACTGCTTATTTGTGTCAGTGATGGATAATAATCAGGTCAATTTTGAACATAAGTGATTAAATTAGTCCCAAAAGCCAAAGCAATATGTGTGAAAATCAGAGACTGAGCAAGGTGCCATGACTGAAATTTCAGTTCCTTTGGAAACAAGAAACCACAACTGGGCACTTAATACAGGTTATCCACTTGGCAGTGGAAAACAGTAGGTTATTGGTGGGGTCCCTTTAATATAATATTCTCCATCTTAAATAGCGTTTAGTACTTGTTCGCTTAATGCACTACTGGAAGAAGCTCAGACACTACAGCGATGAGCATGACATAAGAACCTATACAGAATAGAACATGACACACAATTTTTTTTCATTTGTGCTAGTTGTTTTGGTTCTGCAAATCATTTTGACTTTAAAACCTGCCCCTCAACATTTTTTTTCCTCTTGCTGCATACAAATTAATCAACAGAATGTACAGAAAACTGATGTGGTTTTACCATTATCTGGCTACACTGCTTAAGATTTACACTCATCAACAATAATTAACCTGCATTTTTATGAGCTTTTAGTTCTAATTTTTGATTCAGGATGGATGAGCAACACGGTACAGAAGTAACAGACACACCAAAACCAAAGCCAGCATAAAAGTATTCAGAAAGCACCATGTTACAAAGAGCCCCTCCCACCCTAACAGGGAACAGCTCTCTTCCAAGACCAGACACTGTGCCACTGAAGTCAATATGAATTTTTCCTCTAACTTCAATGGCACCAGAATCAAATGCATAAAGGTCAGTGATCAAGTAATAACATAGCTACTCCGCAAGTCTGTTTTCTCCCCCTTTCTGACTCTCATAGTTCTTCAGCTATAAAACTTGAAACTGGAATAGCTGGAGCTTTAATACTGCATATAAAAACGACCTACATGTTCTATTCATGTGAATACCTTTTGTGAAGGACGATAGCTTGAATCAATTCCTCTGGCCAAAGACTCATCAAGCAGAGCTTTTAGCTTTTCAGCAGAATCCTTACTCTTTGAATGCAGGAAGCCCAGGGCTTTCAAAAAGATGGGATCAAGTTCCAGGTTCACTGTAGCAGCCATAGTAGCTTCTTTGAAAGGAAATGAAAAAAGTCATTGAACTTTATTCATATGGAGTACAACTCAAATAACACAACAGCTAATAATCTCAAAGACAACTCTTTTCAGGTACAAGAAATGGACACATTATTTATCACATCAGTCTAGGCATAGATATGAATTTAAAAAACAAAACGGATAAACAAAGCCACAAAAGCCAACTACCTTCCACCTCCATTAGGAGACAATGAATTCGCTGCCTTCTAGAAAGACAGAGTAGCAGCATCTTATCCCACAGCTGAAGTAATGTCAGATTCTGAATTTGGCAACCCCAAAGTCAGAAAATCAAATGTATTGTATTTATGAGAACCCGTATTTCAGAATATCGTTATTCAGAACATAAGCAAAATTCAAGTGCAATAAATTAAGTGAGTGACAGCTTCAAGAAAAGAAACTAATAGGTTGTAGATTTCCTCCTTATATAATAAAATACTAAACTTTCATTGCATGCACACTGCCTTTCATCTGGTTGCTCACTAACACCAACGTATATTTGGAAAAACAATTTTCTTTGCAGACACAATTTCACTTTTTGAACTTTTCAGAACAATAGCTTCTCATTATAACACCTAGAACAGTTACTTCACAATTTTTGGTTAAAAAAAAAAAAAAAAAAAAAAGATAAAATCTAGATGTCAATTGCTTAATTTTAACTGACAAAGCAAGGAAATTAAGTATCCAGGCTATTATTTGTCCAAGTCCCTTTGTGATTATTGATTACATTTGATGACAAGTAAAAATTATCTAGGGTTTGAGATGCCACAATATACAATGAGGTGAAGTGAGGGAAAGGGACAGAATTAATCTAAAAACATCTTTTCTTGATAACAGCAACTTTTTCCCACATCTGAGTTTTCTCCGCTCAGTTAAGCTACATAACTAATTCTTTCTACCTAGATAAGCAAGGAGCTGTCAGTATCAGCAACATAAATTCCAGGAAAGGGCAATTACATAAGAGATCCTCCTTACAAAAGAAGAAATACTCCCAAATCAGCAATATATCTTTATTATTTCAGTTTAAGGAAAGCTACCGCAAATAAAGGCTTCCGGTCTCTTCTAAAAAGCGTGAGATGTAAGTATTCTTAATCCCTTTTATCATCATGCCACATTTATTGGGATTTCTTATTTCCAACCCTATAATTTAGAAAACTCTTTTAAAAGAGCGTTCATGCCACTCTCCTAAAAAGTACAGCTTGGACATGTACTCTGGTTCCAGCTTGCAGAGCCTTGCCTGACTGAATTCTTCTTGATGTTAAGCACAGTGAAAATAGTGAACTTTAACCTCTCTGGACAATCCACCAGCAGTGGCAAGCTGCTCCATCACTGCTTGCCTGGAAGTCTCCAGGAGTCTTTATCTCATGCTGGGCTTTCACAAGACACTAGAGAATCACTCTACCAAGATCATCAAGGAGTTCAGCATATAATAGACTTCATAAGGATTTTATCAATGGACCCAGCAGAGAGCTAAGAATTCTATTCAGAACCTTTTCTCTATTCCTTAATCGTTGCTTCTTGTCAAATCATATCTCAGTGGCCACAGAACTTCTACTAGTATCTCCTAAACACTAGTAACTCTGGTTTTGTACTGATCAAGCAAAGACTACAGTGTAAGCCCATCTCAGGGCAACTCAGTTTCGCTTTGATGTATATAAAAATGGAATTTAACGCACATGGAAAGTGGTTATCCTTCTCTCTCATACATCCACCTATGGTAACTGCTCAGGCCACTCTTGTGATCTGTGGGCTGTATTACCTGCTCTTTTTCTTTGTTCAGTATTTAAGGTCTGCGTTTCAGTAGCATAGACTGTATCTCTAGGTCTCTGTTAAATCCCCAAAGATATGAAGTATGTGGGATAACAGAACCCTTATCACAAACATTGGAATAATGTACAGCTTGAGGAACTTGAAGTTCCTTTCTTGTGAGTTTTCCTGTTTACAAGGCTCCATATAACATATTGACATAATCAGAACAGATATTAGTAACCAGCCAAACTCAGGATGTGATTTCTTGAATTAAAAGAACTCTGAGAAAATGACTATAAGCAATGTTGAGTCCAACAGCACAAGGACAATTTTGTTTTCTAACAGGTAACAGTTCATAGATCTAATTCTAACTTCAGTTTTTAAGAACTCTACTGTCAAGGAATTGTTAAAAAAAAGAGCACTGTTTGTGTTCAATCCTTTGATCTGCATACCATGACTTTCTGGCTCTCTTCTGACCTCCAGGTTAATATCATAATAATGCTGCATACCAGTACTGTCACAGTTAAGAATTTGTCTGTCTCTACTATAATCTCTCATTTTCAGGGGGTTTATAAAGCTATTTAAAATATGCAGCAGGCTGAAACTTGGCACACAAGGGCTCAGCATGGAAATGAATTTTCAATTTAAAAAGATCTATTTTGTTGTTTTTTAAGATAAAGAAAGTGGGAAAATTTATTTAGCAGAGTGAGATGCTCATATGCTAACTTAAAAATGGACTTGATCTGCAAAAATAAGGTTGATGATCTGCTCTCCTTACATGCACAGGTCTCTTACTAGAACACAACAAAAAAGGAAGTTTTATACTGGCCCATTGTCTGTCTGATCCAGCATCTTGCCATTTACAGTGGCCAGTACTACAAACATTACAGTAATGAAAGGAAGGACGATCCAGTGGTTAGGTCACTAGACTGGGGCTTGGCAGACTGGGGTTCAATTTCCCCCCGTCACAGTCTGCCTTGAGCCAATCACTTAGTCACTCTGTGCCTCAATTCCCTATCTGTACAATGGGGATAACAATATTTCCATACTGCACAGTTATGAGGAGAAATAAAGTCAGTGAAGCACTCAAATACTATGGTAATGGAGGTGATATAAGTAGTATCTTCGATAATATGCAAGAAACCCCATAATGGACAATTATGAAATAACCTCCCGCTTATGAAATAACCACATTTCTTAACTGCTGTCAGTGGTTGGCTGAGTAAGGCCTGAGAGCTTATATTTCTAATTTAAAGAAAACAAAACACAAAAAACCCTCCACCCCATATAGTGAAACCAAGGATATTCTCATTCATATATATGTCTAATACTCCTCTGAAGCCTATAAACCTCATGGCCTCAATGGTATCTTGTGGCAATGAGTTCCACACTAATTATGTACTACCTGCAAAAAGTATTTGCTTTTATCATTTTAAATTTATTCATTTAAATTTCAGTTTAAAGGTCCTCTTGTTCTTATATTATTGAAAAGGATAAATAGAAGCACCAACTTTATTGTTCATATTCTATTCATTATTTTGTATATCCCTTTTATGTCTCTTCTTATTCACCTCCTCTCTCAACTAAATGAACCCAATCTTTTTCACGTCTCTTCATATGGAAGTCTCGCCACTCCTCTAACTATTTGCATCACCTGTTTATGAACTCCTTTTTATGTCATATCTTTTTTGAGACAGGGTGCCAGAACTGAACACAATATTCCAAGAAAGGGCACACCACTGATTTATATGACAGTATTATAACAGTGCAGTATAATCAATCCTATTCTTTATAAAACCTAACATTGCTTACTATTTTGACTACTACTAATTATCAAGAAGAGCTTTTTCATTTACAATAACAACCTAGGTTGTCTTCAGAAATAGCTTAGAATCCAGAAATGTGAATTAATAGTTCAAGGTGAAACGTATTGGAAGGAAAATTTTGTAGTTGTCAATACTAAATTTCACTTGTCAACATGCTGACAATTCACCTGTGTTTTTTTGGTTCCACTATTCATCACAGTCTTCTCTGGTTTTGACTAATTAAATAATTTTATGTCTGCAAATTTTGCTTTCTCACTGCACCCCACCCCTTTTTCAGACCACCAATATATTAAATACCCACCCTAGCACACTGCATGTACCCACCACCCAATATAACATACTGCCTGGCTAAAAACTGACCTTTTATTCTTACTCTTTGTTTACAGTTTTAGATCTATGACAGAGCACAGCCTTTCACAGAAAGGCTTTTAGCCTCTCATTAGGGACCTAAAAAGCTTTTTGGAAGTCCAAATATATTATATTAACCAGTTCTCCTTTATCCATTATTTAGTAAATTACAGCAATATAATTTTAGGGCTGTTGAATAATTGCAGTTAACTCAAAAAAATTAACTGTGATTAAAAAAATTAATCGTGATTAATCGCATTGTTAAACAATAGAATACCAATTGAAATTTATTAAATATTTTTGGATGTTTTTCTACATTTTCAAATATATTGATTTCTATTACAACACAGAATACAAACAGTATAGTGCTCACTTTATATTATTTTTTATTACAGATATTTGCACTGTAAAAATGATAAACAAAAGAAATAGTATTTTTCAAATTCACCTTATACAAGTACTGTAGTGCAATCTCTTTATCATGAAAGTGTAACTTACAAATGTAGATTTTGTTGTTGTTACATAACTGCACTCAAAAACAAAACAATGTAAAACTTTAGATCATACAAGTCCACTCAGTCCTACTTCTTGTTCAGCCAATTCCTAAGACAAATAAGTTTGTTTACATTTACAGGAGATAATACTGCCCTCGTCATGTTTACAATGTCACCTGACAGTGAGAACAGACGTTTGCATGGCACTTTTGTAGCTAGCGTTGCAAGGTATTTACGTGCCAGATAGGCTAAACATTCATATGCCTCTTCATGCTTCAGCCACCATTCCAGAGGACATCCTTCCATGACAATGATGCTTGTTAAAAATTTGTGACTGAACTCCTTGGAGTAGAATTGTGTCTCCTGTTCTGTTTTAGCCACATTCTGTCATATATTTCATGTTATAGCAGTCTTGGATGATGACCCAGCACATGTCCATTTTAAGAACACTGTCACAGCAGATTTGACAAAATGCAAAGAAGGTACCAATGTGAGATTTCTAAGGATAGATACAGCACTCGACCCAAGGTTTAAGAATCTGAAGTGCCTTCCAAAATCTGA